TTCTCTGTAATTAGCATTATAGTCAAACTATAATGTAGCCATCTCCAGTGACTTATCATAATGAGCACAAGAGGGATGTTAAGGTGATCATTAACTGCAGAGAACAAAGACAAAATGGCAGCTGTCATAAGGCGAACAGGAAGAAATAAGCAGAGACACAAAACAGTCAGATCCAGCAGTCATTACAGGTTTTTTGCAACTGGTGAATAAGATTTGATGGACTAAATGTTCTGCTTGTACATCCATTATTGTGAAGACCTCTACCGCTCAGGGAGAAAGATCACATTGCATCCTGCAATCTCTCCTGCTCTCTGCCAAGTATCCTGATGGATGAGAGGAGGAGATGAATCGGGATATCGCTTTCATCTCCAGGGTGTCCTCCAAGCATCAGTCATGCCTGAGCTGGACACTGACAAGGGACGAAATGTTATTTAAGGACAAACACTGACACAGACACAGCTTACAGTCAGCCCAGTTATTCAGCGTCATTATGGCAGATAAGCAATTAACTTAACCTGTTTACCTCAAAGCCTCTGTGTTGTTTTTTAACTGACCGTGTCAGCTGTAAGAGAGCAGCACCTTGTGCTTAGTATTCTGCTCTCTGTTAAATGATGACAGAGAAAATGACATGTTTTTGGAGCCAATATTTTTCACTGTTATCTATGTTTTTTTATTAAGACTGTGACTTTGATCCTGTTTAGGTGCAGACAAAAAAAAGGGAATAATGTAGTATTCCAGGTTGTTTTTTTTATTTCTACAGTGAGCAAACTAGCAAAAATACCACAAATTGTGATTAACATTAATTTACAATATGCTTAGCTTTGAAATCTACTCTAATATATAGTCTGTTATTTGTTACTACTGGGAATAGTGGCAGTGATAACAGTGTGTAAATGCAGTGCTGTCAAACGTGTAGCCTAGTGGCCTAATCTCTGGCTCTATTTTTAGATTAGAGGATGATGCAATGCAGCCAGTATAAAGTAAAGGCATGCTGTGTGTGCCAGTGTGTGTGTGCATACTGGGGGGGGTTGATGCTGTGTGTGTAAATTCTTGTGTGAATTCTGTGAATGCGTGAAATCCTGGCGGTGGCTCATCCAGATGTCAGGAGATTTTGAGTGCGTGCTGAAGCAAAGCTCCTTTGATTTTTGTTCTGTTTATTATCCACTTACAATAGTTTTGTTGGAATTTTTGAATCGTAGAAAAACTAAAGAAACAGTTGTCTTTTTCATAAACGCCCCCCCCCCCCCCTGTTTGATACTATTAATGTCACAATGTCACATTGCTGCTACTGTGGCCAGTAATGTAAATGTGATAATCCGTCACCATGCTCTGCCCAACAGAAACACATGCTGCAGCATTTATTTTTGAGTGAGCGTATGGGTCTCTGCAGGAGGCTACTATTATTCAAATTATAGGCCAGGTTTATTGTTGGCATTAAGCTGAGTCAGGGTGTAGCATGTCACAACAGACCTGCCTGAGCTGGACATCACACAAACACACACTGTGACACAGCATGTCAGTAAGTTGCATTTCCTTCAAAGAGCTCAAACTGCGTTGGATGTTTACCGCTAGATGTGTGTCATGCGTTGCCATAAACTGTGGGTCCTCACAGTAAAACGAAAAGCCCGCAGAGGGAACCCCTTCGATCCCTGCTATGAACGGAGGAAGTAGCAAAGCAAGAGGTTCAAGTTGGATCTTGCAAAAAAGATTTGATTTCATCGTGAAGTGATTTATTGCCCCTCTGAAACTGTTCTCCCAAGCTCCTGCTCTGTTTGATGTATCTTCTTTTTAACTATGAGGCTTTGAGCGAGGAGTTTTAGGTGACCTGCTTTCTTCTGCTCTGCCTCATAAAACAGCCTTGGTGCTGATGAATTGTGATCTCTACTGACATTATGTCGAAAACCATTAGCAGGGTTAAAGAGCAGAGTGTAAGAACTTAGGGCAGAGGACCTGTTTTGTTTTAAGATGCTCCTGTTGGGCTTATTGGGATTGATAAGATTACAGTTTACATACCTACTGAGAGTCTGACTGTGGCCTATTTTTGTGTAGAAAATAACCTTGAAACTGTCTGTTATCTCGGTTCGTTAGTGGCGTGCTATCACAGGCCCCACCAGCACTTGCTACACACTAAAGAAACTGCAAGCCTGACTGAATCTCCATCTGCTCTGAAATCAACCGCAGCATCTCAAGTCTTTGTGGAAATGAACAGGAACAGGCTTCAGATGCCTGATGACTATTTGAGTGACGTTTATGTATTTGCCCTGCCTGTTTCCACAGTCATTATTATTGACTAGAGAATTAAGGACGATCGATTCAGTCATTTGTAATAAACATTGGCTGTTTCGATGACACCCAGTCGATCAGAGGATCACTGTTATGCTTGTGTGATCAGTGTTGTTGATGCTGACTGTTAAACAGAGGGACCAGTGTTAGACAGTATTTTGCAAAGAAAGCTACTAAAATGATGGGACGCATATACGTTACTACAAACCGCAAACCGCTGCAGGTGCAGATTTTTAAAAAATATTTTTTTAAGTGCTTGTCAAGCCTCGTATTTACTCACAGATGAAATAATTGAACAGGTTACCTAACTGCTCTTGTTGGAAGAGGCCCTTTCCGTCCGTGCTGGCAGTGCAGCGTTCAGCCCTGATCCTGACTGACTGAGGCAGAGCCAAACCCCAGAGCCTCCTGTTTTCACTACACTGAGGAGTTGGCAGTGTGTGAAAAGGAGGCCAGCTGACCTCTGTACCTGCCTCCCTTTCATCATGTGTTGCCACTGGGACCGGCTGGGACGACACTGGTCTTCATGAACTAGCTCAACATCCTGGACAGCCCAGTACAAAGCTCGAGAGTTCACAGAAAAAGAGGCTGACAGTGTAAATATCACTGTGTGTTGCTCAGGATTTCAGTAACTGAGTCCTGTCTTCACCCGAATGTTGACTCTGTCCTTGGAGCAAAAGATTAGGTCCTACACATAAATGTTTAACCCTTTAATGTCTTACATTAAAGGGTTAAACATTGTGCTTATCTCCTCCCCACATTCTGATTGACTAATTAATTGGTAGCGGTTATTCATATTTCTGTGGTGTATTTATTACAAATACAGTCCATCTGACGCTTGTTTTGTTTAATTTTCTACAAATGCAACTGCAGCCAGTATCTCACTATCACTCACTATCACTATTCTTATTCATATTTTAGGAAGCTACAAATTATATTCAGCCACAAAATAAGCCTGAAAAGCTGGAAATCAGAACAGAAGTACAGAGATTTGTTGCATAGAGATGATACACCGTCTCATCTAGTTGCATTGGTCTGAACTGACAGTAGTAGTAGTTGTTGCCTGTTTCAACTCATCTTGTTGCGAATCTTTGGTCTGAGCTGAAGAATTTTATCCATTTGGTCCAGTATCATTTGGAAAGTCTAAAAAGGCTGATGAGTAAATCATTTTATCCTCATCCAAGTTAGTGGTGTGCTTAACCGAAAGTAGATGGCTCGGTCGGTGAAAGTTAGCTGTTTGAGTAGCAAAGTCTCAGGTGTGTTTGCTATTTTGGCCCAATGATGCAGAAAATCCAGATACATCCACATCTGGGAAGTTGACCGTTTTTTGCCTTCTGTGCCAATGAGCAGTTTTTATTGGACTGAAAGGGGCCCCACCTCCAATGCTGTATCTAGTTCTCTTTATCATCCGTTGTACAAACTGGAAACAGCTAGCTTGGCTCTGTCTAATGGTAACACAATCTCCCCAACAGCACCTCTAAAGCTCTCAAACTAATATGTTGCATCTTGTTTGTTTATTCTGTACAAAAACTGACATGATAATATGTTAATTAGTGAGCTTTAGAGGCACTGGTTGGCAGATTTTGTTGCTTGTTTCTAGTCTTTTTACGAAGTTAACAGTCTCCTGGCAGTAACTAATATGATATGAAAGTGTAAACAGGTTTGCCAACATGTCAAATCATTTCTTTAAAGTTTTGTTTTACCAATTGATGCTTATTCTTAGATGAGCCTTTCTGTGTACTTATTGGCAGAGAGTTACGTATCCAAATTGCTGAGCCACTGTGAACCTCTAACAAGCAAAGCAAGTTTCTGCATCGTTGCCCTGGGGAGCTAATGCAAACCAGAGCCCTTTTTTTCTCAGCCACCATTGCCACTTTTGTCTTCGGGCTTTGTGGCATTTCTTTCATCCTTTTCTTCTCCATTATCTACCTCTTATTTTTTTTGTTGCTGATGTTGAGTAATGCTTACCTTGTAAAGGCTACCTATGCTATTAAATACAGTTAGAGTTAAAGTCTGAGAGCTTATCAGACACTCCACTCATGACAGCTGAGCCACAGACGCCAGACAACATGAATGATCTGGTCCCCCTGGGGGTGAAAACGCCCAGCACATAAAGTAGCACTGCTGCAAGTCATAGCAGGTAAATCACCAGCAGAAAGGTCAACTTTCACTCAGTATGTACTTAGGAAGCTATAGCAAACCTGCATCTCTGGTTTCTTGAAACATTGTTCTAATGCCAAATCATTTTCTTGAATGAGTTTAATTTTGTTTTGACCATTTCCTGCATCTGGAGTAATTTGTGCCACACAGACATGTCCAACACACTTGTGCCCTAAATGTTTCCTGTTTGGCTTTGTGTGGGTTCAGTGCCCGTCTTGTGTCCAGCAGCCTCATTCCTGGACAGATAAAAGTTTTTTTTAGGTCATGTAACTGCAGAAGAATGACAACGAGACCTTAAATGACCTGGTCTTTATCCTCAGTTGCTTTGATGCATGTCCGACCAGCTGTCATGCTTGTGATTGTCTAGTTAGAGAAGATTGGGGGCCGTTCATTAAGAGGGGGAACTCAACTCGATGACTTGTGTCTAATTAATGCTTCTGTTTATGTTGGATTGGGCAGTGTTGATATCAGTCAAGTATTCGAAAGCTGTTATCTTGTAAGTTTGTTTTTCTGCACTACATTCAATGATTCACTGAGTTTTCTGTCTCTCCCTCTTACAGAATGAAGATGCCTGAGGCTGGAAGTTAGAGCCCTCCACCAGAGAGAGTGTGTTCCAGGGCTGGGGCTGGACCCAGAGACCCCTGCCTAGGGGGTGAAGGGCCCTCACAGCCCTGTGTGAGTCTGGACTATGGGGGATGGAGGCATCGGTGCAACTGGAGGAGATGGGGTGAATAAGGCCCATGTCCTGTTCGACAACTTCGTCCAGGGGACCACATGCAAGGGGACGCTCAAGGCCTTCCAGGAGCTGTGTGACTACCTGGAAGTCAAGCCCGGCGAGTACAGGATCTTCTATCACAAGCTCAAGTCCAAACTCAACTACTGGAAGGCCAAGGCACTCTGGGCAAAGTTAGACAAGAGGGCCTGCCAGAAGGAGTACAAGAAGGGCCGTGTCTGTGCCAACTCAAAGGTAAGCCTGAATCATGACCAACTGAATAGTTCATTTAAGGGCAGCTTTACTTCTTCGTGGCTTCAGTTCAGTGAGAGCTAAAATTTAATCCTGGATGTTAAGAATCATGTAATGTGATGCCTGTGTTTACCAGTCAGGCTGGTGTGTGATTGCTTTATGTGAAAGGACACTGCAGGGACACTTTTTAATCTCAGTTGAGTTCATTTCAGTTCACTCTTAGATACCTTATTCAGCACCTCCTCTGGTTTGCAGTGTATACAACCCCAAAATAAGGTTTGAGGCTGATAAAGTGGCTGTATTATTTTTGTTGAAAAGTTGAATAGTTGAATTAAAAGACTAGGTTTTGTAAATAAAGTTAAATTAAAAGGAATACTGCACCGATTTTTCAACCAGCTCAACTGTGGTAAACTTCCTTCCATCTAAGATTATGTTTGTGCCCTGTTCGGCAGTAATATGAGAGTTTCTGAACAGGAAGTGGGTGCCATATTGCTTCCTGTATAGTGAAAATGAAGGCCGAAAAAACTGAAATCAAATGGTAAAAGTGAGCAGGGCTGATCAAACATAAACCAAGATGCTGTTACTGACTTGTATATTTCCATGCCTCCAAATCAGCTTACTGTTACCGTTAATTTAGCTAACTTACCGTTACCTGTAACATGAGATTGTTTGCTAACAGCCGGCCGCCATCATGTCAAACTGACGATTATGTCACCCACCAACAGGAGCGTTTACTGGTTCAATGCAGCACAGTGCATTCTGGAAGTTGTAGGTTTTGTACCTCGTCAGCAAAAGCAAATGCCACAGTCGTTTTACTCTGTTGTCTCTGGTCATATTGCACCAATCTTTTTACTGCATAGACAGCTTAGTTTTAATAAAAGACCAAATTTCCCGCAGTGAAATACTAACCATTTATCTCAAAAAATATAATTAGTTGAAGTTCCAAGTTGACTAAGCTTAGCTTAGCCTATGTCATCTTATCTTAGTTCATGTTAGCTTATGTTATGTTATCTTAGTTTATGTTATCCTAGCCTAACTTAGGCAATGTGGCGTATGATGTTTCTTAAAGCCACAGTGTGTAGGAATTTCTCCCATCTAACGTTGAAATCATATATTGCATTCAAACAGATGGCGCACTCTAGCGCGTCACTGTTTCAAACACGTATTGCAACAACTGTAGCCGCTGTGTACCAAAAAGCTATGATAACACTGATGAAACCATGTTATCGGATACTACATGGAGTATTCATTCAGGCTCCTACACAGACACACGCGACGCGAGCTGACAAACCCCCTCCTCACCATGCTGGCTGTGTTTACAACGTAGGACTGTTGGGGCGGATGTAAATTGAAACAAACCAATCACGTCTTGTCCTTTGACAACTGACAAGTGGCTCAACCTCACACACCTCATCCCTCTCCTCGCATTACTGCGCCGCTAACAGCTGTTAGTGGGCAGTGGCACTACTGCCGCATAACAAAGTCCCACTCTTTGAGCATAATGCAGGATCATGTATTATGCAGCATCACGGGAGACGGAATCCTCGTCGCCAAGAAAGTGCAAAAGGGAATCAAAAAGGCAGCGTGACCGGCGAATTAAAAAAACAAGGGTCAGCATTGGGGTTGCCTTTCCCAGGTGGAGAGAGCTGCTGAAGGAGAAAGGTAATACAATCACAGGCCAGCGCTAACAGCAGCTAACAGCGGCTAACAGCGGTGCAGTGATGCGAGGAGAGGGATGAGGCTGTTAGCGACTGGCGGCTAACAGCGGCTAACAGCTAACAGCGGCACAGTGATGCGAGGAGAGGGATGAGGCTGTTAGCGACTGGCTGCTAACAGCGGCTAACAGCCAACAGTGGCGCTGGCCTGTGATTGCATTACCATTCTCCCTCAGCAGCTCTCTCTAACTGGGAAAGGCTACCCCGATCTTCGTTTTTTTAATTCGCCGGTCACGCTGCCTTTTCTGTTCTCTTTTGCGCTTTCTTGGCGACAAGGATTCCGTCTCCCATGATGCTGCATATGCATGATCCTGCATTATGCTCAAAGAGTGGGACTTTGTTTCAAATTTGCCAGGGTAGTAGCGAAGCGCCTCTTGCTCCTCTCCTTCGGCTCCTCAGTCACGCAGTGCTGGCCTGGCTCTCAACGAAAACGACGAAGGCGGTGCTGTATGTCCCTTGCTGGCAGGTGTATTCTCAAGATGGCGAAACGTAATGGAACCCCACAGACGACTTACCCGCACAATGTACAAACAAATCCGAAATTCTCCTTTTACGAGAATAAATCAGATTATTGGTGGAGGTAATAGTACACCACTGATGACATATTTATGAATGCAGACATCAATTTTTGCCAATAAACAACTGAAAATGTTACACAATGTCCCTTTAAGTTGGCTGGTTTTAGTTTGGAAGTTAAGATAAATCAAGCTAGCTAAAATAAGTAACTATGTTAGCTTATGTTACGTTATGTCTTATGTTGTCATGAAGTCAAACTAAAATAAGGAAACACGGCTAAAATACTTCATGTATCCTTGCTTGAGTTAGCTTAGCTTATCTTAGCTCGTCAACTATTGCCTTCTTTCTTCTCTTCATGTGTTGCATTCCATTATTTATCTCATATTATTTAGCCAATGCTTTTATGTTAGCTTATTTTTTGGTCTCTTATGTTAGCTTAGCTTATATTATGTTATCTCTTATGTCGTTTTTTGTTTTAGCTTAGGAGTCAAGCTAAAATAAGGAAACATGGCTAAAATAATCATTTTGGTTAGCGTATTTTAGTTCATCAGCCATTGCCTTTGTAGGTTTTGACATCTTTCTTATAGCTCGTCTATAATATCTGCATCTCTTTGTATTTAGTGTCTCATCATTGGTGCAGGACCATGCGGCTTGCGTACAGCCATCGAGCTGGCTTTCCTAGGGGCCAGAGTGGTGCTGCTGGAGAAGAGAGATGCCTTCTCCAGGAACAATGTGCTACACCTCTGGCCCTTCACCATCCAGGACCTCAGGGGCCTTGGAGCCAAGAAGTTCTATGGAAAGTTCTGTGCTGGTGCTATTGATCATATCAGTGAGTACACTTGTTTTGCCCTCCTGTGCGTACACTACTAATATGCTGCACATGGCATATTTGCTTGTAGGAAGTGATTTTTATGTCTTGTATGTACTTGGAAGATGCATTTGTGGGTTTTACAGTTCATTCACATTTTCTTTCCTTCTTTGTATTGTATTATAGGTATTCGTCAGCTTCAATTGATGCTGCTCAAAGTGGCTCTCCTGCTGGGCATTGAGATCCATGTCAACGTAGAGTTCAAGGGTCTTATTGAGCCCCCTGAAGATCAAGAGACTGAAAGTAAGTGAGTCAAACTACTAGAAGACAAGCCGAAGAAAAATGAATGGAAACAGAACATGTGTTTGGTCTGTCAGAGGCTCTAAGCTGGCTCTGTTGTTACATTTCTGTATGATTACACACACTATGTTTTCTCAGGGATAGGCTGGAGGGCTGAGGTCCACCCCAGGACGCACCCTGTCAACGAGCTGGAGTTTGATGTCATCATTGGAGCAGATGGAAGGAGAAACACGCTACCAGGCAAGTCCACATGCACTGACTGGGAGAAATGCATTTGCAATGCCGTTTTTCCCCTTGACTGAACAAGGCAAAGCACAAACAGCACTATTTGTTTTTTCTAAGCCGACTTGGAGGTTAGTCACAACGATTATGATCTCACTTGTGTACAGCTGTGGTCGAGTGCCTGACCTCACTCCGTTCCTTGTGTGAATGAATGAACATTTGTGCACATCTGTGTATGTATGTTTGTTTGTGTCTGGCTGCTATGTCCAAAGAGCATTTCTGACGGCTGTCCCAGTGGAGCAAAAAAGGAATTGTTGAATTGGCTGTCTGTTTCCTCTATGAGTGTTTGGGCCTCACACACAGCCACACTGGCAACAGGAACCCCTGTGGAGTAAAGTACCATGACCCCTCTCTGTACTACTGACTGCAGCATCAATGAAGGGAAGCATCAGGTTCCCTCTGGGACGGCTATGAACTGTAATCACACGGCTTGAAAAACTAGAAATCTGTTTACGTTGTCATGATGCAGAACATCTGGTTGCATTTATATTGTGCAGTGTGCAGTTTGACGTAAAAGCAAACATGAGCACATAAGTGGTTGGGTTTACTCTTTGTTTTTGGATTTATGGTGTCGCAGGTCTGTGCTCTCTGATTCCTGAGCTTGAAAGGCTTCCTCTTCCTCTTGTAATTTCCTCTAGGGTTTCGGCGTAAGGAGTTCAGGGGCAAGCTTGCCATTGCCATCACTGCAAACTTCATTAACAGGAACACGACAGCGGAGGCAAAGGTTGAGGAGATCAGCGGCGTGGCCTTCATCTTCAACCAGAAGTTCTTTCAAGACCTCAGAGAAGCAACAGGTATGTTACGGATCTGTTTTACTGCCTTTTTTTTTTTTTGAGGTAACTGTAAGACACAACACCTCAGGATATAGCTTCAAAAAAGCAATAGCAGTTCCTGGGAGCAGTGGAGGTAAACAAGAGAAATCATCCTGTCCTTGGATCACATTTCTGAATTTTTTCAGCTCATCCAATTAAAATGCTTAACATTAGGTTCGATGCCAAGCCTGCCACAGTTTATTGCTGACACGACAATGTCCCTGGGGCTTTGGTTATGTGCTCTGAGTCGGGTAATTGCTCCTCTAATGACGACATGACAGCCAACCATGGCATAAGGAAACCAATTGTGTTCGCTATATAACAGTACATTTCTTCTCTTGGGCTTTTTAGGTATTGACCTGGAAAACATTGTCTACTACAAGGATGACACGCACTACTTTGTGATGACTGCCAAAAAACAGAGCCTGCTGGAGAAAGGAGTCATTCTGAATGTGAGTGATCAAAGACTGGATCTCAGCTCGACGTGTTGGGTGTCTGTGTGCGTTTAAAAACTGTTGCATCTCATTCTGTCTCTCTGTAGTAGACATAAAGGCTATATGCACGCACAGGCTGACAAAATCAAAAGTCTGTTTCTCTCTTTTCTTTTCGTCTCACCCTCTTTCATTCTTTGAGTCTTTTTATGCTCTTTCTGTTTTTGCCCAGTATCAGCCTAATGGTCTAACCAAGCCAGCAGTGTTCAGGCACAAACTGCCAACTCAAGCACACTTATTGAGTGTTTGTGTCCTCGCTTTACATGGTAGTTTCCTTTCCCTGGCCACTTTCCACAGGAAACAGGAAAGGCTTTTTTGCATGTCTTCATGTACAAATATAACTGAAGGTATGCTGTGTTTGTGTGGTGGCTTTCTGGATTGTAAATGGCCTTAAACGTCCCTTGAATTAGCGTTTGTGCAACCCTCGTCACAGTCATAATTGTTCTTCAGATCCTTTTAGATGTGAGTACAAGTCTGTGTATGTTTTCATGGTGAGCTGATGACATTAATGAGGTTTTGGTATAAACTGAGGCCTGAGGGGATTTGGAGTATGAAGGCATGTGTTATTGAAAAGTCATAACTTACTGGTGTAGTAACTTCTGGAAGTTCCCTTTTAATACAGAGTCCTAGACAGATCCTTTTATAGCAGTGTAATTGACTTTGTCCTGCCCTCTTGGAAAGGGGATAGAGGAAGGGTGGTAGCGATGGCAGGAGAGCGTCGGGTCCACACAGATCAAGGCAGCGCTGCAGATCAGAAAACAGCCCTCATTTACATCTTCCACTACCCTGCCCTTCCCCTCACCCAAAATCACCTCCACCGCCAGCCTGGCACTGCACAGCTAGGGAGCCTGAAGATGGAAGAATGTGCCTCTCACCGCCCTCTGTGAAAACATGCCACTTTGAAAGCATGCAGTGATTTGATGCTACATGTTGAGAGACATGTTGTAAGACTCAGCTGTATGTTCCTTACGGCTGAACCAACTGGATGGTGAAAGATAACGGCCATAAACATGCGCATGGTGTTTACATTATACCTCACTACAACTGTATTGATAAAAGATAGTGGAAGAAAGTTAAGTTATTTAAATTATTGGTCGTTACAAATACTCTATGATTTAACAGAAGCAAGTAGTCACACAGTAAAAAAAAAAATCATAAAATCAAAAATTTGATGCATCACGATGCATTGAGAATTGCTAGTTACAAAGTGGCCCTCTGAATCGGAGTTGAATGGAGTCTTGAGGTGCTCAGAGATTCCCATCCCTTATGTTAGTGTCACTTTGGCTCTACTTTCCAACAGTTATTAACATATGATCTGAATCTAAATAATATCTGCTTACATGCTTTTGTATTCACACCTTATTAACATGTATTTTCAGTGTCATGATTGTGCTGGCATTGGGATTTAGAAATTAATATGCAACCAAGTTTGGTTGAGCAGACAGATTTTTACAATGGAGATGTTTCAAAACCATTTGTTTCTTCCTAATACAAATTCTGATACCTGAACATGCATTTTGGCTGATACCAAGGACTGATCCGATACCATTGTGTTTGAGAATTATACATATGCTACTAACTTTGTATTAATGTGAAATGATGGCTGTCGTTGTTGTACAGTATTACTCAGGTTAAAACCTTGTTTAACATATATACATAATGAATGCCATAGAACTTTCTATGATTCAGTATATATTGCCAAATTTCTGACATTTTGCTAATGGCTAACATTACATTAATTACCAGAAATCAATTCTTCTCTGCCTTTCTAAAAGACTGTAGTTTTCATTGGCTGTACAGGGCAACGTGCTACTGTTCTAGAGCACCTGTATAAATCTGCAGTTTCTCCAGGTGTGACACTACTAAAGATTTTTTTAAATAAATTTAATGGTGTAAGAGCAGTGCATAGACTGTCAGTATCAAAGGTATTTACGATAATGATATTGTTATCGGAACAACTCTATTTTACAAACATGGACCGTGGCAGGTTGAGGGTAGCGATGCTGCTTTATAGTTTGATATCTTCATGTATTCAGTATGCAGATTTTTGCAGGGTTTACTTGGGACGTCAAGAATGGGTGTATTTAGGTGACCTTGCAAGATGTGTGAAAGATATGTTTTCCTAAATAACGTGGCCAAGGTTTACAGATTGCATAAACTGCTGGCTGAGATAAGAGCACAGTGCGAGCCAACACAACTCCAAATGGGGTGTGGTCAGTGTGACTGCAAAGTGTTCTGCATGCTTATGCACCTTTTTAATAATGTGCTTTCCCTTACTCACATAACTTGCCTAGATGCAGATTGCACACTGATACCAGGTGTAAATGGTCTTTTTATATCCCGTGCAAGTTTTTTTTTTTCTGTAAAATGGGACTTAAGTGTAAGACCATGCCTTGGCTTAAGTGCAACAGACTTGGCTGTTCCTTGTCTATAGTTTTGGTATGTAGCTGCCGCCCAATGTTTTTATATGCTGAGCAAGTCTTGCATCATGCCTAGGTTTAGTTTGGAGACTCTGTTGCTACTGCCTGAACTGCTGATTGTTAGAGTTGTAGCTGTTTCATCACATTTCCCTGGAAATCTCTGCTTTTATCAGTTTTTGTCTAAATGCCACTTCTAATCTCATCTCTCTTATCTCTCCTGCAGGACTATGCAGACACAGAGATGCTGCTGTCCAGGGCTAATGTGGACCAGGCTGCCCTGCTGTCTTACGCCCGCGAGGCTGCTGATTTCTCCACAAACCACCAGCTGCCCACGCTGGACTTTGCCATCAACCACTACGGCCAGCCAGACGTAGCCATGTTCGACTTCACCTGCATGTACGCCTCAGAGAATGCAGCCATGGTGCGCCAACGCAACGGCCACAAGCTCCTGGTGGCACTCGTGGGCGATAGCCTGTTGGAGGTGAGCGAGACGGCAGAAGTTTTTGAAGTTGTCCATAAAGACTACGCTTTACTGTACACCTGAAGTTGTTCTTTAAATCTTTATAAAGAAAAACTTTTTTTTTGTTTTACCCATTTTTGTCATATCCATGGCTGTTATGTGGCCATATTTGGTGGTTTAATGTGGTGTTCGCTGTTGTCTCCAGCCCTTCTGGCCCATGGGCACCGGCATTGCCCGAGGTTTCCTGGCAGCAATGGACTCAGGCTGGATGGTGAGGAGCTGGGCTCAGGGAAAAACTCCTCTTGAGGTTCTGGCTGAGAGGTGAGGGTGTTGAAACACTGAAACGCAGAGACTCACCCTTCTCTTGTACTTACATTTGCAAACACACACACACACACACACACACACACACACACACACACATATTCTCTCTCTTCAAACACACCCTTTTATCTCTAAGTGCTTTACTAGGAAATGTGCCTGTATGTGATTGCAAGCATCAGTCCCACCTCTGCTTGTACTAATGAGATAAGAGGTTCTCATAAGAACAGGATGGAATGTGACTCCTCTGTTCTGCTGTAACTCTCTGTGCTGTTTTGATATCAGTGATAATGTGTTCTCTTAATCTGTTGCCATTTATTCTCCCTATATTTTCCTCCCCACACAGAAATAAACAACACAAAAATGCAAAATACTCGCCTGCTTCAAAACTATTTATACTGGCGGCGATGCGACTATGTGACATGCTACGTCTGTTTGACACCTGATGCCTCAGGGTGTCACACGTCCTTTAATTCTTAATATAAGGCTTTAAAAGTCTTAAATTGTCTTAAATTCAGATTCAATGAGTCTTAAATATCTTTGGTCACATTACCATGAAAATTTCTCCAGCCTGACAGACCCAATGACCCGACTGGACAGACTTAAGAAGAAGATTTCCTGCAGTATTTCTCTGAATATTGCCATAACAAATAGCATCTGTGACAGCAATGAGATTTTTTATTTTCCTTTTTACAGTAAACTTAAACTCACCCAATTGTTGTCATTTTTCCTTACTGTTCATTTTGAACTGACATCACTGTGTTTATTCGGAAAGAGTATCTACACGTGTGTCACACACATGCACACATTTATGTATTATGTGTATTTCCATTGCAGGTTTGGTCTTAAATTTCATATAAGGTGGTATTAAAAAGGTCTTTAACAGTCTTAAATTTAACTTGGTTATACCTGTAGACACCCTGTGCCTCTATTCATGGTACTAGAGCATAGAAAAATTGACCTAAGTTGCTTTTTTGCTGTGTAATACTCCATTCTTTGTGAAGGTTCTTATGAAAAAAAAAAAACAGTTTGAAAACATATACTGATGTTCAAATTAATGGCACACAAAAAAATGCCCCAGATGTGTTAAGACCTTAAGACTCTGCTTATATTCTACATAGGAATATATTGAATGTTTTCATCTTCACTTTAGGGAGAGTATATACCGTCTCCTGCCTCAAACCACACCAGAGAACGTCAGTAAGAACTTCAGTCAGTACAGCGTGGATCCAACCACACGTTACCCCAACATTAGCCTTAACTTCCTCAAGCCCAGCCAGGTGAGTATGGGAGCTAACACACCTCAGCTGCCATCTTTGATAAGCATGTAACACAGTTTGTTTGGAATTTCATAGAGTTGTTCTGATACTAGTACCAGAATATACCTCCCATACTACCTAAAATGTCTGATTGGGTATTGGCGAGTATGTGAGCCTATGTAGCGAACCAATACCATGTAATTTATTAATAAACTTGTAAGCAGTTGCACACCCAAATAAAACAGTATTCCCAGACATCAGTTCTTCTTTACTGTTCTAAAACAGTAGCCTACACAGCAGCCATGCCATACAAACTATGATAGCAATCATTTCACATCTATACAGGATTAATAGTGCACTGCCGTTAGTTATTTTTTTAAGGCAGTGGTACAACTTTGTAAGATCAGGTATCAGAATCATTTTGGGAAGGAAAAAAATGGTATCAGAACATCTCTAGAAGTTTACATGTGTAACAGTAACATGTGTACGTTGCAGGTGAGGCACCTCTGCGACACAGGGGAAACCAGGGAAATGCGCATTGAAATCGAAAATGTGATCAACTCGTCGACACCCAAGTTGGGCAGGAATGGTTTGTATCTTTCACATGCTTCATAAGGACACTATAAACTGTTAGTGGAAAATTCTTTGATGTGCAGATTGATCAGTGTAGGATTTTGCTGCAATCACTGTTGCTGAAATGTAACAATGAACTATTTCCACTCTAGACAACTGCCTGCTTGACAAGCAGTTGCAAGGTAACAGAAAGTCCGAATGCATGGTGTTGCTTTTCAGGGACTCCTAATAGTTTTAACAGTTTGAAAGTCAAGCTGCTACACAATAATGAATAATGGAATGATGGAAGTGTTAATGGACTGATTGCAGCCTCTGACATTATTCTGCGTGTACTAACTAGGTATGATACTCTCATTCAAACTCCCTGGTTTTCTCCAACGTTTAATATCCACTCTAGCTGTTTTAAAGGTTTCCTGTGAGTTCTGCATCCTCTCCTAACCCCTCATTTGCATCCTTTTCCTTCTTTATAAATTTGCTCACAGTTTATAATATTTTCACATTGGCTGGTTAAAAGCGGTACTAACATGGATGATGACGCCATGGATGACAAAACTTTATGATGCTATGCTCAGCCTTGCCTGACCAAGGCCATGAGATTGCTCAGCAAGAGATGTGTAGTGCTGCCCAGAAACAGTTTATATTTCTTTCCATGTGGAATTCACATACTGCTCAACCTGCTGCTTTACCATCAAGCCTTTAATTTTCCTCTTCCTGCCGCACCAGAATCCATAGCTCGATCCAGTAAGCTGCTGAACTGGTGCCAGAGACAAACGGAGGGATACAGGAATGTCAACGTAACGGACCTTACAATGTCCTGGAAGAGCGGTCTGGCCTTGTGCGCCCTCATTGACCGCTACAGGCCGGACCTGATGTGAGTATCAGAGAGGAATACACACACAGCACATGCCACAGGAAGGCCAGATTAATACAGATGGCAAATTTTGTCTGCAAGAAAACACGTTTCGCCAAGTGTGTCCCTTTATGGTTCGAGTGAAAGGGTTAAAACAGCTGCTGAGCCTGGAATGACTGGCCTGCTGTGTTTATGTGAGTTTGTTGGTTGCAAATGATGTTTACTGTGTGGTTGGGACCATGCTATTGAGCAGTACATCACTGTAAATGAGGTGACAGCTACCAGTCATAATGGCCTCTCTGGGTCCCTCCTCATATCCCCGCTTACCCTCCCACACACACACATAAACACTCTCCTTACACTTACACACACGATAAACAACACAGTCTCCATCCGCATTGCCTAATGTAGTTTGTTACCCTCTGGAGGCAACGTGGCAATTAACATTATAAGCTATTAGTGTCTGTGCTCTGCCTGACCTTTACCAAGTAGTGCAGCAGTTGTGCTCAGCTGCCTTTAAGAGGCCAGATGATGGGAGGAGGGGAGGGAGAGTGATGAGTGGAGGTACCTTGGGGAAAACCGCCTTCACGTGTACACATGTAGAAGACGGATGGTAAAGAGAGGTTGAGTGAGGGGTCCACTCTGTTCCTGATGTGATGTTCTAGTGCTAATGCTTTTAAATGGACTGCATGTGCAGTTGAGATGTATTGATGACTCGCCTTAATGGTATTTTCAGCTGCAGTATAATGACATTTACGGTAATGTTTTCCACAACATGAGCAGTAGCCTGCTGTACAGAAATGCTTCTTCATTAGTGTTTAATGCAGGCATACTCAGTGTCAGTTAATTTCCATTATTTTCAAAGCTGCTGGTTAGTTGTGGTCAGGAAGTATAGATTTGCTCCCTGTTTTTTGCTGAGTCATCACAATGCACAATAGGAGATCACCAATCATAATATTCTGATTCTATTAAAGGAATTCAAAGCTGCAATAGTCATTAATTTTATATTAACAGTAGGTAAATGAATGTGTAATGTGATAAGGGTTGCTTATAGTGGCAGACCCACAGTTGCCGCCCCGACTTGGCAGTTTCCCTCAGCTCTGTTGAGCTTTTAAATCATCTGTCAGCTCATTGTTTTTGTTTCACAGTCTGCACTGTAACTGTTTGTTTGACCCCACAACCACAACAGACAAAAGTTAGCGATTAGCTGGTGAACACAGTGGAGCATTTAGCATCTAAAGATCTCGATATTCCATTTTGGAGTTGGTAGAGAGAACAATTGAGCTGGAAGGGGAGTCTGTATTGCACTTACATTGCCAGGTGTCAATGAGTTGTCAACTATTAAATTAATCCCCAAGTAATTTGGTGAGTAATTAAAAGATTTTTAAGAGAAAAAAAAAAGTCAAAATTCTCTTATTGCAGCTTCTTAAATGTGAATATTTTCTGTTTTCTTTAGTTGAGGACATTCATTTAGGCTTTGGAAAACGCTGTTCAACAGTTCTCACCATTTTCTTTGGCCAGACACATGACTCAAAATGAATAATGACCAATAATATTTCACTGTGATTTGTAAATAAGCAGCTGTTGGCTACCTATTTGCCACCTGGGTGACACCATGCAAGTGTTGTGTTTACAGCTTGTTTCTGCTGCCCCCAAGTGGCCAAAAAAGTCACACCTTGGTACACCTTAAGTCCACCTCAGTGGCTCTTACTGTACTTCGTAAGAATATTCAAACACATTTTATATGGTGTGTAATACAGTATTGGGGTTTGAATTAACTATAATCACCTCTCAATCACAATACACAAAGAAGGTCAGGTTTTAATATGACAGCCAATGGTATTTTTTTTCATACTGTAAGATGTAAATACAATTTCATCCTTCAGATTCCACTGATAAAACCAAAAATCACAGCTCAATTTGATGTCAAAAATATGCAAAATTTAGTAGTGAGAGTGTAGCCTGTGTGTGTGTGTGTGTGTGTGTGTGTGTTTGTGTTACATTTACAGTAGCAGCATAGATATAAGATTTTTTAGATTAATGTGTATTAGCACCCTTTTCTTCATCACATTCACTCCATCTATCTGTCCCATCTCATTCTCTCCTTTGCCCTCTGTCTCCATATCCCTCCTGCCCTCAGTGACTTTGATTCCCTGGATGAACGAGACCACGAGAAGAACAACCAGTTGGGCTTCGACGTGGCGGAGAGGGAATTTGGCATCTCGCCCTGCATGACTGGCAAGGAGATGTCTTCTGTGGTAGAGCCAGACAAGCTCTCTATGGTCATGTACCTCAGCCAGTTCTATGAGATGTTTAAGGACACAGTGCCACCTGGAGGTGAGAGCCGGTGTTACAGTAGAGCTGCTGGCTCTGTAATCTGTGTTTGGGAGGTGTCTGTAATTACAGAAGGGTTGTCTTGTGACAGATGTTTTGAAATCATGATTACCCATAATACTAAGAGGATTTCAAGTGCTTCTTTATTCTCTTAATCCTCCTTTTTTGTGGATTTCTGTTCAGACAACCACAACTTGAGTCCTGAGGAGAAGGCAGCGCTGATATCCAGCACCAAATCTCCTATATCCTTCCTCAGCAAACTTGGTCAGAGCATAGCAATATCCAGGAAACGAAATCCGAAGGTCAATGTCTGTCTGTTGGGATCCATTGATCAGTCTTTATACATCAGTTATAGCACTTTGTCACTTCATTGTCATAGTAGGAGTAAAAATGATGTGTCATCAACAGGACAAAAAAGAGAAGGACGTGGACGGTTTGGGGAAGAGAAGGAAAACCAGCCAGTCTGAAGATGTGAGTAGTTCTGACAACAAAGCATCTCGGATGTTGAGTTTTTGAGCATTGTTTGAGCAGCCTATCCGACCAGAACAGACTAATTGCTCCCATTGGACTGACAGCAGCAGGCAGACAGGTGTGACTGTTTTTCTACTTTCTCACAGGAGGAGGTATCCAGGATCGGCCGTGACGACAGGCCGTCTGTCCCAGCCATCCTGTCGGAGAGAAAAATGGACTCCAGTGCTGCAGGGAACCACAACAAAGTCAAAGTCATGGCCACCCAGCTGCTCGCCAAGTTCGAGGAGAACGCTCCGCAGCCTACGGGACTTAAACGACAGGTACGGGGAAGTCACGTGGTTCATTTTGTGGTATCACAACTGGGAAAAAAAAAAAAGCTTGCCACTAAGGAAAGACTGAGTAACAAGGAATAGACGGTCAGACTTTCTGGAAGTCGTGGGAGTTTAGATTATTTTTGCATTGTGGTTTGTTTTTCCTTACATTGAATACTTTGATGATCATATAGAGTTCCTGCTGTGTGACAGGGCCTCTAGTCTCATGATTGACGAGCTGTAGCCCACTGTATTAATGAGTCCAGGTCCAGAATGCTAATATTGGTCAGGCTGGGTATTGTTCCTGGGTCATGTAGGCTGGCCTCACAGTGCTGACTGAGCTCGGGGGGCTCGGGTGAATTGGTTCGCAGAGCTTTGGTTTGCTTGCCGCTGAGAGTGGGAGGGAGGAGTGGGCAACGGGAACACTAGACAGTATTGTTGATAGAATGAAAGACAACTCTCAGCTGTTGCTGTTTGAGAAAATGTCTTGTTACTGTGTGTCTTGGAAAGCTGCTTCTTATTTGATGTGGTTTTTTTTTTAATGTAAAGCTTCTGTTTGTGTATCGCTTGGCCATCACACATCTATGAAATTAGCTGATTATGTTATTACAAAACTTGACTTACAAAACTTGAAGCTTTGTGGGGATTTATGTAGGCTGAATAGCGGAGCAGTTGCTTGGCTAAAGATACTTTATGCACGCAGTTGTATATTTCCTCTCCTTCCATCTATTATTCATGTACATTCTGCATGCCTGATTTACTGTTTAATATCTCTAAGTGCTATTATGAAAACGATACAGCTCTCTCAGCATGATCTCCTTATGACTCTCTGTCACTTCCTTATTAGTTATGATCACACATTTTCCAACCATTGTGACTCCATCCTCTCGTGATTCACTTCCTTCTTTCTTTTTCTCTCTCTCCTTGTTTCATGATGCCTTGCATGGTTATTTGGGCCTCTTACTGGCCACCCTTGTCTTTATCCGACCATAAAGGGGGACTCTCTGCCCAATCTGGACCAACTTTTGCCCCTTAGCCTGCCCCAGACCCCTGTGAATGAGCCAGTGCACCTGGCACCTGTCCCAGCATGGAGAAAGGTAGAGTGGAACCGCCCCAGCTCATCCCTATAGAGACTAACGACTAGGCTGACCTTCTAACCGTATGTCCCTGTGGTGTGCCGTAGTGGGGAAAGTTGCTTTGTGCTGACCTGTACTAGCCTGAGCTTCACCATCTCTTTTAGATAGTGTGCAGATCTGGTTGTGTGGTTAACTAACTACTTGATTTCTTCATAGCTTCTCAATTAAATAGGCTAGCTTTGTGTGTGTGTGTGTGTGTTTGTGTGAGAGACACATAAGTGTGCGCCACCTTCATGGTCTCTCCTACTTGCTTCTCCCGTCTGGTTCAGAGACGCACACAGCAGCAGGAGCAGCTGAGCATTCGCTACAAAGAAATGATCAAGTGTCAGACGTTGCCCAACAGAGGGGAGCAGGTATGGGTAGCTAGGCTGGCCTGGTAGTCCTCCAACTTCTTTCACATCCCATTAGGTCCAGATACACGCCCTCTACAGATGGAATGGATCGGCTTCAGAAGCAAGGGAAGGGAAGGAAGCCTCACCGAGCCAGACAGACAACAGCTCATTATACAATAAGCACCGAGCAGATCAATCAAAAATGGGAAAAATGGGAAAAATGGGGTGTGTTCATCAAACCTTGTCACAAGGTTCCCACAATTCCTTGAAATCCTTGAAAGCTTGTAAATTCGAGGAAAAGACAATAAAGACCTTGAAAGCTTCTTAAAAAAGACATTAATAGACATGGGTCATTGTGTAAAGCACTTAAATGTATAGAATTTTTGTGCAAAATAGAGGTAGAAGTTCCTTTGATATTTTTCTTACTTAACATTAGTAAAAACGCAGCACTCCACTGTCTGCATTTGTGTCTCCCACAGTTGTGTCGTTGTTTGCGCTCTACCTGTCACCACCTACACTGCTGAATTGAGAAATGTTCACACATTGAAGCCTCTCTCTCTTTTTAATTGTTGTCTGGGAGCTTCTGTAAAGCCTGCTAGTTTGCATTTTAAAATTCTCAGTGTAGCGATTAACTTTGATCCATGTCTCAGACTATGTCGTGATGGGTTCTTGAATTTGAGGGAATTGGGCCTGGAAAAGTCCTTGAACTTGATGTTAAAGACAGTGTGGGAACGCTGTTGTCAACAACTGTTTAAATCAGGTGTTACAAATGTAAAATGAAACATGATTCTGTGATTGAAACGGATTTAAATTTGTAGGCAAAGACTACTGACAACACTTTTTGAATCCGCTTTTACGTCTGGAACCTCCCGTCTACAACAGGCTTGAGATGTGCCCTCGTTTTGAGGACTTGGCTCAGATTCGGGAGTTACTCTCTTATCCTGAAGCCTCCTTAAGGAATCTGATCCCATTTTATTTGGCGGTAGGAACCTCTTACGACCACATGGCTTTGCTGGCGTCGACCCCAGCAGGATTCGAACTCTGGACCTTCCGCATGGAAGACGAGTGCTCTAACCAACACTTTTAATGGACGTAAACTGACGATGCACAATTTCCCGTTGTGATTACGATGCAGCCTGTTTCGCAGTCTCGCTTAATACTGGACCAGTTTCAAAGATTGTTGTCTCTATTAGTCACTTAGACATTAAACACTGGAAGATAGGGTCCAGATTTTAAAACACCAAGTTTCCCTTTCATCTTGCTTTTCCGTTAGCCACCAACCCAACTTGTAGGTGTGTCGAAATGTAGTTTCCTCTGACATACAATCCAGCGCTACATCCACTCCCCCAGCCTCAGTAGAAGACCAGCTGTGGCCAGCTGGCCCGCCTGGTCGTCATCCTGCTTTACTGTTCCCTCATGTGAATAATGAGACTCTGCACAGTGCCAGTTTTCTCCTGCTGACGCTTAGAAAGTTGTCTTTTTTTGTCTTGTCACTAGATTAAGCATTCACCTCACAGACATTGATTTAAAGCTTCAAACTCTCCTTCTCTTTAAATGGATTTAATTCACTGCTGTTCTTAAATGTCCTTTCGCTGCACAGTTAAGCCTCTCGCTGCTGAGTAAATTAGCTTAGTCAATTGTTAAAACTGGAAATAGTCTTGATAATCCGAAGCACTTCTCTACACAAAGTGTTTGGGGTAGAACTTTTTCAGCCACTCTTGTAGTGGTCTTCAAACTTTTTATCAAAACTACAGCACCCTTTGGGGATTTATTTTAGCTGACAGCCATTTGACTGTTCATAACAGTTTTATTTTGCCATATACACTTTGTGGGTGGTCTGTTCATTGGGGGTATGCTTATGGAAGCGTGTGCGCTAGTGTGAGGCATTGCTAACAGTGCAGTAGGACACCACACTAACTCTATAACCAAATGCATTACTAAATTTGTGCTCATGCATATATTTTTAGATGTAATGTCACTGCTTAGTGTTAAAAGCTTTTGAAAGCATTAAAATGTATCATGTTGCTGTGATTGACAGCAATAAGGAGTAGGATGCACATGCACTCTTAGCAGTAGCTCATCATTATCATCATCATTCTCCTCATCTTCTGCTGAATCTGCTGTCCCTGTCCCTCATCTCTGAAGGCCAGAAGCGTTGCGGACCAACTGTCCACCTCGGGCTCTCGGAGCTGCCCAAAGAAAACCATTCTGCTCCCTTCTTCCTCCTCCACTTCCTCGCTCTCTCTTCACTCAGAGGTGACACACAGTCTGCTGTATCTGTTTGTCTGTGTCTGTCTATCTCTGCCACAAATCCACAGCAAACCCATCTAGTGTCCCTTTACCCCTCTCTCTGCTTTTTGTCCTCTGAACGCATCCTCTCTAATTATGTCTGCCGTACCTGTGATTTGATTTCAACTAAACAAAATGCTGTATATCCCCAAATAAACTTCCTAGAGAGGTTACAGTCTTGTTTACTTCCCCGCGAGTGGGTAGTGTGTGTGTCATTATCAGAGGAGCTGCTTGTTTTCCTGCTGAAGGGTATGTTGTTGGGATGTGAAGGCATGTAAATAAATGTAGACTCAGGGGACCATGGGTAGTTGTATCTTATTGTCAGGCGCTGTCAGAGATTCAGCGTAACAAGCTGTTCACCAACATGATAGTCAACAGCTCCTTTTGCAAGAGTCTGTTTGTGCCCGATGCGAAACCAAAGTGTTAATACAGTATGTGTGTGCTCATCTCTGCCTTCAAGCATTTGCGTAGAAGTCCAGAGGAAGAGGAGCTCGAATACTACGAGATGCCTCTGACATACGGGGTAAATGAGTGATTGCATGGATATGTGTGCAGCTTGTCATGACTGTTTGTGATTGGTTTTTCTTTATGGAACAAATCAGGCATTTCTTTCTGTAAGCTACACCCAAAATCATCATCAGGTCTCAATAGAGCTTCCTTCGCAGGAGTTGCGCATGACAGACCCAAGACCCATTCACATACCTGGTATACAGGAGAGGGCTGAACGCCTAATCTCCAGATTTAAAGGCAAATCTGACAGGCCACCAAAGGTGAACACTGTGCATGGACATTTTGTGGGATCATGGTCTCCAGTGTTGAGTCATCATGTTTTGTGTGGTACATTTCTGGGCGTGTGCTGCATGGAAAGGTCAGGCTGTTTGGTGTACGTATGCACATCGTCCTAAGTCTAATTCCCTCTTTCAACTGTTCCTCTGCCCCCCCTGGAGCCTAAGAAAAAGCCATCCCGTTTCTTTTTAGAGCAGTGGCACTTGGCTCGCGGTCTAACTGAAGGTCCTGGTTCACCGCTGTCCTCCCCTGACTCCTCCAGAAAGGTTAGGTTTTGGTGCTGTGGACTGAAACTCTAACACATTGCCCTCTGTGAAAACAGCTTGTTATGGAGGTTTTTTTACTTTTGAGAGCAAAACCTTACTTGAAGGTTCGTTCAGTTCCTGTTTATTTATCTCAAGTATAGTCTGTTGTTTCGCTAGGTATGTCTGCTAGATAGCGTCACTAACTGCAGGGCATCGCTTTCATCGTTTACCCACACGGGCTTACAATACTGCTTGAACTAAAGGCTGACAGCTGGAACTATGAAAACAATGGCTTACAAACCATCTGTGGTCTTTACCGCAATGACAAGCTATTTGGAAAAAGAGGGTTGTTTTGGAAACTACTAAAAAGGCAAAGAATAAGTACATTTTCCTCTTTGTACATCCCTTTTGTGATTGAATCATCTATTTCTCTGCAGGAGCCAGCAGGGCGTCTGCAGTCTGATGATGAAATGCCCATATTTGTGCTTAGCATTCAGGAGAGGGCTGAGCAGCTTGCCTCTCAGTTTGAGGGCAAGCCTCCTAAACCAGAGGTGAAATTTCCCTATTAACACAGAGAGCTGATTATCAGTCTAATATTTATATGTATTATGTTGATATTTGGGAGACTTGGGCTGTTGGTCAATTTTACCTTTTTGAGATTGGACAACCAAAATCATCCATGTATTGCCAGTACGTTGTTGGTGCCATTAGTTTACTGGGTCAACATACATCATTAGGCCAAACTAGTGATTGTAAGAGGGCAGCATGTCAATGAGAACTCATAATGGTAAAATTAGCAGTAGCATAGCAGTAAAATGAAATCGTAATCGAATGAAAAAATTATTTGGGATGAAGGAAATTCAACTCAAAACAATACAAGCATCTCTTTTTATTTAGTGACCTGTGTGGCTTACCTCGACCGCAGAGATTAGTCACGTTCAAGTTTTTATATTTGTCATTGGCACAGATGCCAAGATAGGAATACTATTAGCTTGATTGCTTGCTGTGTCTCTGGGGATGCGCCTGGACATGTCAGCTATTCTGGACAGCAGGCATTTTTAATGCTCTAAAAGCTTTATATTTTTTAAATTAAATATACATATATGTATATATTTGATTCGTGAGTGTTTATTTAAATAATTTCAAAAGGTCAAACATCCGGAATACGGTGATGTCTGAAATACAGTGAGTCTACGTTAAAGAACATGGAGGCTACATTTAACAACAGTTAGCTAAACTCAGCAATTTATGCTAATCAGTTAGCATAAAACACGAGAGGGAATGGCTTAAGTTAAATACACAACTAATTTTGTTGATGTTTGAGTCAAGTTCAAGTAACTTTATTTGTCGGTGGCACAGGTGCTGAGATAGAAATGTTATTAAAAAGGACATATATAAAGAATATGGAGGTCACTTTGAATAAAAATTAGCTAAACTCGCCAATATGTGCTAGCCATAGATTGATAATATACGTAGATAACGTATGACAAGATGGCGCCTGCATTCCAGTGGCGTTACTCACCTTGCACATATGCCAAAAACGTTTCTACCTTCTGGGTTTACTTCACGGTATGTAGCCCACTGAATATGCGTAGTAGTGTTTCTTTCTCTGCCCCCGCCCACGAGTTCCCACTTAGCTCGTAGACTTTATGTTGCAGTGACGTGGCTGGTTTTAAAAATGCTTTTCTCAGCTTGAGGAAAGTTTTACATGTATAAAACCTCCGTGGATCATAAATTCATAATGACAGTTTTATAGATAACTCTTTTATAATGGTGGTCTATGGGGGAAAATATCTTTTGGGCCACAGGGGATTTTTTCGCTGCAATACTGCAAGTGGCCACTGGGAAAACTTGGCTGCAAGTCTAAGCTGCTCTACTAAGGACCTGATTTTAGCGTGTTAGCATAGAGCCCCTGAGGGAGTAAAGCTGACCAACAGGCTACTCTCCAAACAATAAAAATTGGTTTCATAATTTTATTTCAGAAATTGTGTGAAACAGAAAAGATCATATTAGGTTTTTTAAATTGTGAAATCAACATTTTTAAAGTTTTTAACTACTGTCCTCTCTTGCTCCTTTTTGTGGAACCTAAGAACCTCCCTAAGAAACCCTCACGTTTTTTTATGGAACAATGGCACCTGGCCCGAGCCCAGTCTCCCCCTGGTTCTCCCCCCTCCACCTCCGACACCTTGAGACAGGTAGTCCTTTCACGCCTGGAATAAATGGAGTGTGGCGACGCTAACACACCGCACCTGCACTTGGTCTTTCACGAAGCTGCATCGTTTCACTTGGTTACACGAGTTGCTTAACACGACTTAAGCTCACCTGAGACTGGCTCCAGAAGCTGGCTGCTTGTTGTGAAATATGAAGGAACTCGTTTGCACCTTGTTAATTGTTTCCTGTAGTTGCTGTGATTACTGCGTGGGTGAGTAATCAGTCCTTTTGACTGTGACTCTATCTGGACAAATATCAGAATACTCTTAGCTGGCATGCGTTTGAACTCAATTATAATTCCTAGCTATTTTGCCAAGGGAGTCCCTAGTAGTTGTTTTGGATTGGAAGAGCAGCTTGGCAGCGAAAAATGTCATCTCGTTTAATTCCCATGTTGATGAGCACAGTTCCAACTGTGGAGGGGTAACAACTCCGCAGTGCGGTGGGACTGCAAAGTGTGCTCGAATCTCATCCAGAGTAATAGTTTGCACGGCTTAGGTTTGCTCTGTGCTACATACTGACCCCAATTCTGGCTTTTTTGAGTTTAAATGGATTTAAACTTAATCTTGATGTAGATTTATTTAAACTAATGGTGACGGTTTCATATGCTGACAGCTCGATTACGTATTTATTGTTTGATTAGTGACAGAACAGCACAGTGTGAATGCCTCTGTGTGTGTGTGTGTGTGTGTGTGTGTGTGTGTGTGTGTGTGTGCATGGAATTAAAAATGCACGACTGCTTTATTTGAGTGTGTGAGCATGTATACGTGCAGTGATGTTACAGAAGCACCACTTAGTAGCTGTCGTCTTTCATACCGCTGGGATTGTTGATCTCTTTTTCTCATGTCCCAAATCCAGTTATTCTCTTTGTCGGCAATAAAATGCACAGTTGAACTTTTTTTTAGCTATCTGAGCTATATTTGCTTCAGCAGTTCGGTGGGACTGCCGGCACATCTGAACGCTTGATCAGTTGAGCATGGAAACATCGCTTTGTCACGTCTTAAAGTCCTGTCAGATGCTATAGTGTGTGAGCACCCTCTGTGTTTAAGCTGTCCTCCTCCCACTTCTCCCATCTGTTATTTTCCTTTTTCATCCATCATTTTCTAATGTTTGTCCACCTGTCTCTTCTTTTCTCCCTCCCTAACGCTGTTCATAGCGCTATGTAAGGATGTACACAGGCGGAGTTAGCTCATTGGCTGAGCAGCTAGCCAGTCAGCTTCAGGAAGAACCTAAGCCCCTACCTGAAAAGAGGGATTCGGTAAGCATGCTGCCCCCGGGGGTGGAAGGCATGTGGCTGCACAGATCAAAGCCTCACTTGCCACAGAGTGGTGTTTCATACACTGATGTGTTGTTGATACGTTGATGTGTTGTCACAGTTTAACATTGCTCCGTCTCCCTGTAGCTGCAGTGTGTGTGTTTGCTCCACAAGTAACTGCTGTTAAGGATGCTGTTGTGTTTGTAGATAACCACTGACTTGCTCTGTCGGGGTTTCGTCATTGGGTTATACAGTAGCTCAATGCCCAGCATACGTCTACAGGGGCCTGCTATGTGATGTCCACTAAAGCTTTGATGTGTTTGAACCTCTCCTCTTCTCTCCTCTCTCCTTTTTTTTTCTTAAAAACTGATCAGCGCTCTTTCCTTCCACAGGGCTCTCTCCGAAAAGAGTTCCCTGTCAACATTGGTGGCAGTGATGTGTGCTTTTTCTGCCGAAAGCGCGTGTACGTGATGGAGAGGCTGAGTGCAGAGGGGAAGTTTTTCCATCGCAGCTGCTTCAAGTGTGACTACTGTGGCACAACGCTACGACTGTCCTCCTACGCCTTTGACGTGGAGGATGGTGAGGCTGACTTTAAGATAACTTTTCTTTCCTTCCTATGTGATTGTGTCCCAGTGACACTGGGATGAATGAGCTGAAAGCAACACATAGACTGTGTCAAGTTTCACATGTATGCCACCAGAATAATTTGAAAGACACTGTAACCACATGAAATTTCAGCACCTCCCGGTTTTAATCATATAAATCTCAACTTGACCCCAGATCCGAGTGCAGTCTCATGACTCCATGTTTTCCCTCTCTGGGAGGTGTCTATTGTGCTCAAGGACAGGCAGCAGATTGTTCATTGAGACAGAGTAGCTGTTTTTCAGCGTTAGCCGTGGGACTAAGAAACCCACTGACGGTCTGAACTGAGGCAGAAAGGAAGATCTTTTTATTCTAAACACAAACAAACACATAGTCTACTTCTGCAGAGGAGATAAAGCCTATGGACTCTGTGAGGTGAAGTTTGCAATATGCGAAGTGTGTATTTATTTATGCATGGAGTTTATTTGCTTTTGTGCTGTCTGTCTGCTTTCATCCTGCAGGGAAATTTTACTGCAAGCCCCACTACTGTTACCGTCTGTCTGGCTATGCGCAGAGAAAGAGGCCTGCTCCCTCCCCCACTCCAATCACTGCTAAGGTACATGTTTTTTGTTTATGAGTTAAAATCCTGGTGGAAATCAGAAGTGGCTGGCATAACAATGAAGAAATTGTTTTATCTTCAAAATGCAGTGTTGAGGTAGAGCCACAGGGGCGAACATGTGGGAAGTAGAGTTAAGATATTCTGTAGGGAGCTGTTGTTAACATAATTTGTCTTTGCAGGAGAACCAGGCGCCCCAAACTCCTACAGCGACCGTGGATGCACCGGGAAGGGCCATGGCAGCGGCAGCCCCCTCGGCCGAGCTCCAGCCCTCAGGTACCCCACTTTCCTCTCTTGCTGTGGTGGCTGCGCCCTGCCGTCTGGTCAAGGGCGTGGGAGTCCCGCTGCGTACCCTCCGCCGCACGCTCTCCTGGACCTGCCACCAGGTGGCACACAACCCCCTAGACTCTCCCTTCCTGTGCACCTACTGCATCTACCTCTTCTGCTGTCTCACCATCAATGTCCTGCTCGACCTCCTCTAGCATGACTCTCTTGTCCTTCCTTCTTTTTTCCCCCTTTCCTTACTTCCTTTGCTAACTAATGTCACTGGGATTGTATAGATTTAGCCAACTGTATCGACTCACTGAGCCTGCGGAGTGTTCATGTACAGTAAATCTTGTGATTCTTCGTCTCAGTGGTTGATTTATTTCTTGAAGATGCAGCATTCTCTCTGTATCTCTTTGCATTTAATGACTTGTGATTGGTCGAGGCAGTTAAGCAGCCCCTCTGGCAGCATAATTTTTGAAGTGAATGATGCATCTTGAATTTATTTATTTATTTTCCTTGGCTTGGTAATTAAAAAAGAGTTGGACAGAGTTCTTTCTGATCAGCTCTCCAGGCAGCAGTATTAACTATTTCTAAGTCTCTTCCTGTTCTGATTTTATTATGAGATGTGGCAGTAACGTGCCAGCTTTCTTACTCGAAATATCAGTTAAATTTTGGCGTACAGCAACTAGGCATGGGACGATATGAAAATTTAATATCACGATTATCAGGATAATGTTGTGAATTGCAATTTTTTGGGCCTGGATAATCACCAAAATATGCTTAAGACTCATTTTTAAGAATTGTTTTTCATGAAAAACAAACATTCTTACAAAGACAGACTTTTATAACTACTTGAAATGGCATTATATCTTTCGATATGATATATCCTAACGATTTATGAAGATCTTTTGCGTTTTTTGAGGCTGATGCAAGGCTTTTTTATGGTCGCTGGCCCTGCTGCTGTACACTATATGATTATCCTGATAATGTAAATTCACCATGATCATCTTGTTGTGAGTGTTTTTTATCGCTATCCGTGATTAAATCTTATATCGTCCCATCCCTAACAGCAATACATTTATACAATCTGAGTTAATAACCTAAATGTGATTTTTGCCTGCCTGCGTTTTAATGAAGAGCCAAGCTTTATTCTGTTGTGACTGTAACCTCTAGTGGCCTGTGACTTTTTAGCTCTACCTCCTCCTGTTGTGTTGTGTTTCTTTTAGAGCCTGCTTTGTGATGTGTTCCTTTCTCTCTGTAAGCTGTTTTGCACCTACGGTATCCCTCTTACTGAAACTCACCATATCTGTGATGAAGTGCCTGTATCAGTGCTTTTGTGAGCTTTACCTTTCCCCCTCCTATCAGAGCAGCTTAAAACTGAGTGCTCTACTAGTGCTTGAATTAGTGCCTGTGATCGGTTCTCTTGTGATTTCCACTCCTCTGTCAGACCTTCTCAGCTGCTCTCTCTCCTCCTGCATCCCCCAGCCTCTCCCTCCCCCCCCCCCCAGTAGATTGCTGCTAAGACCCACTTGTGTTTGCTTAATATAGTGCACCTTTGCTACATTCATTGGATAGCATATTATTGTTTAATATAATCAACAAGACTAGAAAGAGCTTGACAGAACAGGCTGGGTTAATAAGGATTAATTGGAATTTAAGTAAGTTAAGTGTAGGCCTGCTGCATCGTGTGGCAAGTGTAGTATTATACATTAAAATAGTAACTGCAGTAATACTATAAACATATGTAACATTCATTTTAGATAAGGTAGTGAAATATAAAATTACAAAAGATAGCTGACATGGAAAAATAGTGTGATGATAACCAGAAGATGCACATCAGATTATGTGTTAAGGTACAGATAGTAGAGGGATAAATCCAGAATTTTTTTTTCACTATTTCTATTTCTAATATTTTAGTAATTCCCATTATACAATTAATAATGTTAAGTGTTTTAAATATTTTTAAGATACACGTGTATATATTGGAGAGCCGATAACAGTGCCAACAGCATTTGTTAGGTCATGGGTCGCTTTAACCTTTAATTTCCGGTTTGTTTTTGGTGGAAAGGTGAACCTTAAAATTGAAACTAATTTTCTTCACAGCTGTTTTGCATTTACAGGCGCGTTGCCTTGTTTAGAGGACAAAAAGGAAACCACTGCAGCTGTTTGACCATGCACAGCGTGATTTTGCCAAGTAGGATGTGCTCGTGGATCAACATCCCACATCACATTCGCTTCTTCAGAGCTATGCTAGTTTTCCAAAATGAAGTTAGTAAAATAGAACACAATCTATTGTAACATAAACGAAAACCTTATAAGCTACTGTGGGGTTTAAGAGTTAGCTTGCTAAGTAGGTTAGCTATAATAATGAGTAAACTTGCCAATAGGCTAGAATATTAGCGAGTTAGCTTGCTAACTAGGTAAGCTATGCTAACAAGTATGCTAGCCAGTAGGCTAGAATATTAGCGAGTTAGCTTGCTAACTAGGAAGGCTTTGTTAACAAGTATGCTTGCCAGTAGGGAGGGAACATGTGTCCAGGTCTTTGCAACTGCAAAATGACATTATCCTTACTCTTAATGTTAGCGAAATATTTTAACCTATTGGCAAGCTTACTCATTAGCATAACCTACCTAGTTAGCAAGCTAACTCGCTTATATTCTAGTCTTGTGGCAAGTTAACTCGTTAGCATAGCCGACCTACTTAGCAAGCTAACTCGCTAATATTCTAGTCTATTGGCAAGCTCACTCGTTAGCATAACCAACCTGCTTAGCAAGCTAATTCATTAGCCCTGCAGTAGCTTTAAGGTTTTCGTTTAATGTTTCTGAGGATTTTGTAAATTTTTGTAAAAACTTCATTTTGGAAAACTAGCTTAGCTCAGACGAAACACAGGTGCAGCACACTGATGATGTCAGAGGGCTGTGATTGATTGATTGTAATGTTGGTCCAGGAATGCCATGTGGGATGTTGATGCATGTCCTACTTGGAAAAATCACTTTGTGCGTTTCACCACACTTTTCATCTACACAGATTAATATACAGTATCAAATCTCATACATTCATTACCACATCTATCCTTTAGTAATGGGATTTACATGGGGCTCATTGGCATTTTGTCCTAATTGGGGAGCAATTTAGTGTAGTATAAAGTTTTAAATGCTTACTTTGATCCATTCCACACGTATTAATCAATATCCAAGTAAATTTTGGAGATAAATTCCGATACAGTTTTAAGATTTGCTTCTCAGGATGGGAAAAAGGCAAGGCACCAACCTGGTACTTCTAACTGTAGTGTGACAGAACTATTTTAGAGTGTTAAACTTATGTGTGTTTGTTGATACTATTTGCTGTAGGAATATAATCTAATGCAATAAATTAAGTTATAGATCTACAATTGGTGTGTCCTTGTCAGTTTGTCCTGAAAATACTTCGGTATAGTCGGGGGGTAAATAAGTAATGTCACAACAAATGTGTATGGAAATGCACATAGTTACATTGTTGGATGTGTGATGGATTTGATGCTATTAGGCTCATATGTTCACACAAACACAGTAATCACAGTAGTAGTTTCCGCAAATAATGACACAGCAGATTTGTTTTGGTCCAGTTCATCTCCACAGAGGGATGAATTCAATCAGCTCTGCCTGGCTCCTGCACTGCAGAGGGTCATGTTCTTCTCTACTGATGCATCTACCTGATTCTCAGTCGAATTTTCTGTGCTTTTTTCCCCTCTGCCTTCTCACCTCCAACTCGCTGCCCACCCTGATGTCATCATTTCACCCGCGATCTCCACCTTACACTCAATCATCAATCCCAGTGCCAGAGGTCAACGGCCTGCAGGAGCCCAGCCTAGCTAAACGTCTGCGGGGAACTCCAGAGCGCATCGAGTTGGAGAACTACCGTCTGTCCATGCAGAGGGAGGAAGAGCTGGAGGAGGTGCCTGAGGAGACTCTGGCAGAACACAACCTCAGCAGCGTGCTCGACAAGGCTACGGACGCTGACCTGGGCTCCAGGTATAAGCATAAAAATGACTGAGATATGCACTTTAGACATTCAACAAATTTTTTTGATTTCTAATTGGCTGAAATTATGATATTGTTTGTTGCAGCTGATCATTTGTTGGATTGTTTCTAGTGGGTCGAATTAAAGTGATGGTAAATTCACAAAAACTTTAGGTTTTGCGTAACCCCGGTTCTCAGCATGAGTGATATGTCTCACATCCAAACGAATGCTGCATTTCCTTACATGAGGCATGAGGTTGAGTGACAAACTTACATGCAGTGACATGAAGAACTCCCTCCATTAGGTCTGCAACAAACCAACACTTTCAATACTGATTATTTTTATTGAATAATTTATTAATCATTAGCTCTATCGAATGCATAGCAAAACTGCCCATCATAAGTTCCCAGAGCCCATGGTGATGTCTTAAAATGTCTCATTGTTTCTGACTCACTCATAGAAAATGACAAAAACCAGAAAATATTTACATTTGAGAAGCTGAAACCAGTGATTTTTTTTTTCTAAATATAAAATCAGCTCCTGTTATCTGTGTAATATATTTAATAGCTGCGTTGACAGTGTGCTGGAGTTATTATTTTTGTTATTTTAAATTTTGAACCATCACGGTATCTCTTACCCACCTATCTGTATAAAGGTGTACGAATTTCACTTCCTGTCCACACTGATGAATTTTTCCCATGTTTGCTAAAAAAATATACTTGAAATAAGTGGCGCTTAATTTTTAGATTGATTAAACGTCTAATCATTTTAACTGTACCCTCCACTTCCGTCTGTGTTAATAAGCAATAAGTTAAAAGTGTGAAACTTTTCTTATCTTATATTGTTTAGGACTGTTGGCTGAATTTGTGATGCACATTTCTTTACTATTTTTTGACATTTTACGGATTCAATAAATAAGTCAAAACAATAATAATGAAAACAATTATTAGTTGTGGCCCTTGTGTACATTTTGGCTTCACTGCCTGACATAAGAAAATGCTGCAGGAGAACTTATATAATATACAAATTCTCAGTAAAGTCCCTCAGTAAACAGAAGGTGAGACTGGCAGTGAAATAAACTGTACAGCAAGAACAAGTTAAGATGTATCCCTTCATGTTGCATATTGCATGCTGTCTGTTTTTCCCTCCCACTTGTTCCAACACTTCACTTTGACTCCTCCTCTGTCTTTCAACAGTAGCTCAGAGTCAGACATGGAGGAGGAGGATGAGCAGGAGGATCAGGATCAGGATCAGGAGGAGGTGGAACAACAACCTCATAGTCCCTCCGACCTCGGCGGGGTTCCCTGGAAGGAGGCGGTAGAGCTCCACGCCAAACTGCGGGGCGAGGAGGGGGAGGAGGGTGAGGCTCTGGCAGACGCAGTCAGCAGAGACGGGGAGATAGATGAAGACGAGGAGGAGGAGGAGGAGGAAGAGGAGGAAGATGAGGATGAAGACGATGAGGAGTCGAGTGATGGTAAATTTGTTTTTCACTCTCAGTGAAGACTAAATGTTAGTGTGTCTCCTTCGGTGTGTCACTGTCTCAAACATTGTTCTCCTCATCCTTTCTGCTTCTTTCCCTCTTTTCCAACCCCCCCTTCATCACTTCCCCCATGTCCACGGTGTTTGTGTGTGTGTGCGCGTGTGTATCTGTGTTTTATGTTTTATTTTATTGGGCATCTGTCTCCCCCTGCTGGCAGAGGGGGATTACTGTCCCTGGGATAGAGAGCTCCAGTCAGGCCTTTGGCTGGAGAAGCACCTCACAGATGAAGAGGATGTTGGTACATTTAAAGGTAGCAGCAGAACTGCCTGTGGATGCATTTGCAGTAACTTTGAGCGTGATACATAATCCTGGCTGGTTTGGGTTTCTTTTGAAAGGATTTCTACAATAAGAGTGTGGCTTTAACTTTTTTTTTTTTTTGCTGTCTTGTTGTTTGTGTTTTTTGTGTTGATAAGTGTGTTTCCTTACTGTGAGTCTCATCCTATATTAACCTGCTGTTAACCTGTTTAATACCTCAGTTTTTGTATTCGGCTTTAATCCACTAATCTGATAAATGTCAGAGATGTTTGTGATTTCCCTCTAGGCTCTGCAGCTGTGTTTTGGTATTGAGTGGCAGAATTGTTCTGTTCAACAAATGGGTATTATTTCTTTCTGTAACCTCGTATCTTTGAAGCTCACTTCTATTGTTTGACTTTTTTTTGCAGTCTAGTGCATGCAGCCTCCCTCAACCCGGCCTCTCTGATGATGTTTTATTGCTGCTATATTCTAACTGTCTCTGCCTTCTCTCTTTCATTGTTGTCCTGTCTTTTCCCTTCTCTCTTCTTCTTTTGCTTTCATCTTCCCTGCACAACTGCCTTCTTCCCTCTTTATCTGTCTCTGATTTCTTGGTGCACACACAACTTCACCACACTAAAAACACTGCACCACATGCCGACACCCTCATGTAGCCAGGAACCTGCAGATCCAACAAGTCCTGCAGCCTGTGGATCCCCAGACCATTCCAGGTTTGGTGAGAACACACCTGGACTCTGAGGGAGACAAGGAGGGCCATCCAGCCTTGGCCTCCCAACTCTCCCAACCCTCTGAGCTCATGCAGCCCTCCTCCACAGGTAACCCACCCAGAGGAGCTGAACACCTGGGGAGGCATTGCAGGGCGAGTCCCAGGGTTAAAGATCAGGGGCATCTCGTTTCACCAGTGTGGCTGCTGCTGTTCTGTCGTGTCTGTGACAGGAGGAGCAAACTCCCCCCTGACTAACCCACCTGTTGTTTATAATCATCTCTGGTTTTGTACATTTTTTTTGTCTCATTGTTTTTTTTTGTTTTTTTTTCCTTGGAATGTCTAATTTTGTGTTCAATCTTTTAATTTGTCATTCAGAGTCGCTGTTGGTCCTCTGGGGTGAACGTTCTTCAGCATCCCAGTGCACCTCATAACCCTCCCTCCCCTTGTCAATTCTTTTTGATTTTGTTCCGCTTTGTTCTTTTGTGTTCTGCTGTGTTCTTTCTCATGTGTCTAATTACTTTACTGTTATTTCCCTGCCACCTATCCCTCGTTGTTCTGTACCATCTGGTTTGAACGTAGCCCCTGCCCACACATCCGCCCGACACGAAGCAGTGAGAGTCTGGTTGGAGTCCATGTCTGGAGGTAGCACAGACTTAAAAGGGATCACAACATCCCGCCTTAGACTCGTACTCTATCTATCTGTCGGCTGGCCTTTTTTCCTGGAGCATGCAGAAACACGAACAGAGACCAGTACACTCACAAGCATGCATGCTGAAAAGCTGTCGCTCACAAGAGTTCTGCTCTCTTGGGGTCAGAGTTCACTCCCCAACCTCTCACCCCACCCTTCCAACTTCCAAAACATGTATTTTCTCTTTACTCACATAGCGTATTGTGCTGCCATGTAATGTACCCCAGAGACAGAAGAGCCATCACGGCTTGAAAACACTTAACACCACAGTGTTTCTTGCCCTGATGGGTAATGTGTGAAGTATTTCATCTGTAATCTGCCATTACTGTTATTACATTTATGGACTAGCCCTTAACTGGCACAAGTACTTGCATAAAGTTCAGATATGGAGGCTGTTAAAGGGATTATATCAACTTTTTAATAGCTTGACTGAATGTAATGAGAGTGCTACATGCATATTTGGATTCACAGGCAACACTCGTCTGGGTTAAAAGCTTGGTAAAGATCTCCTTGTGCTCAGATCCACCAGAATTAGATGGTTCCTTTAGTGTGTGCCTGTGCACCCACATGGACAAAGGCCTATAGTGCAGTTAGCAGAAGTGAAGGTTAATGTTGTAATTATATCCTAAACCTGCATACATTAACTGTGTGGGTTATTTCTCCATTTCAGATTTTGTTAGAAACGCAGTCTCTCCCACTTAATTTAGTTTAAATGATGGATTATTGCTTGTCTCTTAACTGATGTCATTAACATTTTTTGGTTGTGCTTTTGCTTGATTTAAATGTCATCCATTTGCTCATCTGAAAATGGATAGATGCATGTTTCTGTTCACTAATGCTGCTCCGCGCCCAACCTTTGTTCATATTTACTGACTCGACTCGTACGAGTTCATTTGTAGGCAGTACTAATATTTGATTTCCTTGCCAGAAAACTTTCCTTAAAGCTGTCCTCAGAAAAAAAATGGATTTGGGCTGTGAAGCCTTTTCATCCTTTTTCAACCTTTAATTTTCCACCCCGCTCTTCAAAACTGCTTTTGATAGATTTTTTCATTAAGCAATCTTTGAACCCCGGTGCTCTCTTTTTTTTAAGAGGAAAAAAACATTTAGCCTGAAGCTAGACTTTCTGAGAACAGTTCAGTTAAGGTTAGGAAGTTGAAAAAAGTTCTCGCTCTTGTTATTGTCTGAGGCGAGAATGTGTTACCCGGCTGACTTACTTCTTGCCGTCTTCTTTTGTCATGCCAGAGCTCTGTGAAGATGAAGATCTGGAAGCAGAAGCAGACAGTCCTGATGTGGAGCCTGGTACAGAGATGGATCAGGGTGAGCGGTTTGAATAATACAAATAATAATGAAGCCATAATTTCAAAAGAATTGTACTCCACTGCAATAAAAAGATATAAATAATTAACATTATAAACAGTGTAATAGTTTAATATTTCACAATGTTTTGCTTAAATTACAGACGACATCCCTTCAGATGCAGAAGCCGAGGCTCGGTTGCATCAGCTGCAGCGTGCTGAAGTGCTTCCTGAGGAAGAAAAGGAATCAGAAAGTCTGAGGATGACCCCCAGTATTGGTACATGCCCCTAATAATTAATCTGAATTGATCTCTCTGAAATATTTTCACATGATTAAAACTAATATTTTCGTTATTTTCGTTCAGAGCCATCCAGCACCAGCCCCGTGCAGAAAGAAGATGTCGTTCTTTCCCCACTCAAACCCTCTCCTGAAGAGCCGGAATCACAGGTTTAGATCAGTCTGCACTTTTTAAGATTGAAGGTATGTGATGTTAGTTTTTACTGAATATTATCTGCTCTTTCATTTTCAGATAAATCTGGCGAGGTCTCCGGGTGCCCGCTTTTTCTCAGAACCGTTCATACCTGAGGAAATAAAGCCACAGAGGTCAACTCCATCTCCCTCTCCAGCCACCAAGAGCCCGCTGTCCCCTTCACCTGCTCCAGTCCAGGAACCTTCCTCTGTCCCTTCTCCGACACTTGCTGTTGATGCTGCTGCTTCCCCTGTCAATGTCCCTGCCTCATCTCCCCTAACCTCATTCACCAAATCACCCATCAGCTCTCCAGTTGAGCCAGCTGTCGAGCCACCCGTCAGAACCCCTGTCAAGGCACCTGTTAGCTCCCCAATCCGCTCTCAGCCCACTCCACTGCCAGAGACTCGGACGCCAATATCTCCTGTCTACCCTCATCGTTCTATTTGCCCTCTCACGGGCAACCCCCTCTCCCCTATCTGTGCTCAGCCTTTGCCCTGCCAGGAACCCTCATCACCCCTCACCTCTGACTCTCCCGTCAGAACTCAGCCTGTCCCCGCAGTCACTTCAACGCCCATGACCAAAACAGACAAAGGCACGCCTGAGCCCTCAGTGTCCATAGATTCTTCAGCAGAGGAAGAATCATCTAAAAAGACAGATATCATTGATGAATTTTGGTTAAAGAGTGCTGAGATCAGAAAGAGCCTTGGTTTGACTCCTTTGGACCGCAGTAGTAAAATCATAGAGAAGAGTGTTGTCACAGCTCCAGTGCAGGACTCCACCCCCATCAAGACACAGACTCCAGATGTACCGGAGGAACAGAAGCCTGCCTTCACTGGCCGCGCTGTCATTCGCAGACTCAACATCACCCTTGAGGGTCAGGTCATCACACCCATTGCTCCTGCAGAGCCCAAGAGTAATGGCTCTGACAAGAGGGACCTCAGCAGCAGCTCTGGCCTGGGGTTAAACGGGAGCATGGTCACGAGCCAGACGGCGAACAGTGACAGCTACAACACGTCTGACTCTACTATGCTCACCCCGCCCTCCAGCCCACCACCACCCGTGCCTGCTAATCAGTCTCCAGCCGTGCTCAGGCAGCAGAGACACCAGGTGTCCTGGAGCAACGGGACGGAAAAACCTCCACCTGAGCGTGCCAAACAGCCAGAGAAAACCAAGAGTCCCGTTCCTGCACCGAGGACCCAGCCGAGCCCTGTGTCTGCACCCAAACCTGCACCTAGGAAAATTTCACCTCAGGCAGAACCAGAAACAGCTCCAATGGTTGTCATGAGGGAGAAGAAGCCACGACCGCAGGAGGTGAGGAAGTCGTTTGTGGAGACGGTGGAGGAGATTCCGTTTGCAGATGACGTGGAGGAGTCTTATGATGAGCGGACACCAGACGCGAGCATGAACAGGTTCTATACTCCACCCACCAGCAAGCCCAGCAAGGAGAGACCACCCCTGCATCTGGCTCTGGCAATGGAAAACGGTAAACCCAATATCCCTGTCAGCCAAGCCCTTAAGACCCAGAGGGCAACTCAGTTCTCCCCAGAGGCCAAGGAGATCGCTGAGGAGAGAATGAAGGCCAGAGAAAAGTCTGTAAAGAGCCAGGCTCTGAAAGATGCCATGGCCAAACAGCTAAACAAAATGAAAGAATCTGACATAGACAAGGGTGCCTCACCTAAAGTGGCCTGGAGTGTCGCCCCAGATGCTGCCGGAAAAAGTAAAAAGTCAGCCGTCTCTCCGAAGACATCAGCTGTGAAGGCTCTGGAGTCAAAGAAGGCGGAGACAATACCAGAGCGTTTCTTCAGCAGCAACAAAAGTCTGGACAGCTCAGTGGCTTCATCGGATGGCTCCTCGTCCAGCAAGAGCAAGAAACGAAGTTCCCTCTTCTCGCCGCGGAAGAATAAGAAGGAGAAGAAAGCCAAGAACGACAGCAGCAGGCTCTCCGGCACAGAAGAGACACCGCCTAAACACAAGTCGCTGTGGAAGGCTGTCTTCTCAGGGTACAAGAAGGACAAAAAGAAGAAGGACGATAAATCATGTCCAAGCACGCCATCCTCGAGCTCCACCACTCAGGACTCTGGGAAGAAGAGAACGTCACCTCTTGGGAGATCATCAGGTAGGAAAGCTGATCCAGGGCAGGTTTTTAATTCAAAACTTGTAAAATTTCTATTAAAAAAATCTGTTTTTGCTTATTATTTGCTACAGACTTGAAATCCCGCAGAAACTTGAGTTTCTCCGAGGACTCCGACCTGTCCTGCGATGATGTTCTGGAGAGATCCTCCCAGAAGTCAAAAGCAGATGTAAGTCACAATAGACACAGTTAGACATGTCACATCTTCGTCATGAGGTATTTAGACATGTATAGCGTTGCAAAGCCAGTCTGAGCTCATTTTGGAGAAGACATTTTAGTCTGCTGACAATGAGCGCAGACCAGAGCCGGACTGGCCTCGGAAGTTCTTAAACTTGATGCTCTATTATATGATATTGGCTCAGGTTTAATTCCAAAGCTAATTTTGGTGGATAATTTGGGCGAAATCATTCAGTGCACCCTGATTTTTTTCCAGTTTTTAAAAATTGGAAGCAAATACAGGTGACTCTCAGGTGATGCGTTCATCCTGTTAAGTGTAAAGCACAACAACACAAGCGTGTGTATCCCTCGCAGATATGCCTGTTTAGCCTCTCCAGACCCGAGTGAATGAAAGGTAATCTGCGGAAAGGCTTAGCAAAGGCTATGCGTCAAATCTATAGCATCCATTTCAGTTTAACTGTCTTTTAAAAAAGCACTTTCCTTTAAATAATTTCTTCCACTTCGCAGCAGCAGCAGCACATGGACATCTTTGACCTAGTATCAGGCATGCAGAAGGAAGCGATTAAGGAGGTGAAACTGGAGAAGGAGAGAAGGAGGGAGTTAAAGGAGAGAAAGAGGGTGAAAGAAAGGCATAAAGAAAGGGAGCGGGAGAAAGAGGTTGATCGAGAAAAGAAGAAAGACGATGAGGAGGTATTGTGCAGCAGGGGGTCAAATGATTTTGAATTTCATCTAAACATAGGTTTGGAAATTGGTAAACGTAATATATGTAAATTTCTACTAATGTTAAGTCCACAAAGCTTGCAACTGGCTTTCAGACTCACCTCAAATTAACATTAAATACTTTATTCATCTCTTTTTAAGTGATGTTAGATTTGCAAATGTTTGCATTTGTGCCTTCGGGTGATCCCAGAGCAGTTCATACAACCAAATCATGATTTAAAAACACATTTCCAAGGTCTTCAGCACCACAATGTGACATGTCATATGCACGCCACTATAATTAGCCAACAAAATTACTAAATGAGTGAATTCAAAAGCCTGGATTCATTACATATGCAGGTGGCACATTAGGACTGTGCAGGAATTCAGCACACAATATTCACATTTCCATCATATGAGTCCTTTTATTTGAATCCATTTGCATTCATTATGTTGGCTTGAAATTCAGAAACGATTGTCTCCGCTGCTGCTCAGTCTGTGTGTGTGTGTTTTTGGTGGTTTAGATAGACGCAGTCGAGTTCAGGGCCAGAGGCATGAATTCATTAACCGCTGTAAAAGCATTTAAATAAAGCTCTTTGTTTTCTTCATTTCGACGACATCTATGAAGATTTGACATTTTGTTATTCTTCAGTAATATCGATCTGAATTTGAACTTTGTGCGGCTCCAGTAATGGGAGGTCAGCGCTGTGTCATGCCTGCCAGGCCTTGCGTAATTCAATCAGAGCCTCCGGGAATCAAGTAGAATAGTCTCTAGTGACTGTTGTGGTGTTTATAGTTTCCCAGATCTGTGAGTGTATTAGATATATTCTCGTAGACATAATGTTAAAAATAACAGACCTGTGTTACTGCTTTATGACGTGAGATGGTTGTCCTACAATGTGATTTGTCGTTGACTAATTTCTGATTAACATAGACGTATCAGATGTCGCTGCACCTTGCCATTTTTGTGTCGGTGTGGGATATTAACATTGCCTGTTTTTGACTGTACCAGCTAAATTATGACCTTGTTTTGTTTTATTTTGACCAATTTTAACATAATCATTAACCCATTTAATCACATCATCTGTATCATGTTTGTTCCCTCCCTGTTTTTTTTTTTTTCCCCAAGTCTGTTTATGTCCCTCACGCACTGGCGTTCAAGAGATCGTACGCCACAAAGGTAGTATTACATACATTCCCATTGATTACCCCCACCACCACCACCCCTGCCCCCCACCCCCCCCACCCTCAGCGCATGTGCCAGTTTGCTGTCATAACACCTCATTTACATCTGGCCTCAAACTAACTGTCCTCTCTGGATGCATGTGACAAGGCGGGGCCGCAGCGCGCGCTCACTCACTGCTGGATCTCCACTCTGTTAAAACGCGACTTTTTCCAATCGCACTTTTCTGGTCACAATGACACCTCTGCATCTCTTGATATCAGGGTCGGTTCCTCTCTGAGGATCTGGTTTGATATTAACCTGCCTATCTGTCACTGTGGCACTGTTTTTACCCCAGTCTGGATGCTGGGATAACTTTGACGTTTTCCTTCAGTGCTGTTCTCTCTTGCTCCTGACTCATGCCAGCTTTTTATGTCCTCACAAGTCAGCTAAAAGGGGAAACACCCCTGCTTATTCACACACTGTATTAATGCCTATAATTATAAGTTTTCATAATGTGAAGGATTATAAATGTGAGAGCTTCAGTGACGTTTATTATTTCATGTTAACACACCTTCAGATTGCAGTTTAAAGGCTTAAAAAGCCTGTAGATAGTGTTTACTCTGTAGATGCTGTGTAGTAAAGTTTGAAGTATCCCAAGATAGATTACATTGTGCTAGTCAGTGTTGTCCTTCACCTTCTACAAGACCTAATCAGTTTCCCCCTCCTCTCCTGTTCATTTTTTCTAAAGGGCCAGGGCCCCATGGAGTCAACTCCACAAATTAGCTGCTTGTGGGTGAGACCTCTCTGACCCATGTTTTTTTGTTATTACCCCAGAAAACCTACACAGAGGAGGAGCTGAATGCCAAGCTGACACGGAGGGTCCAGAAAGCAGCACGACGACAAGCCAAGCAGGAGGAACTCAAGAGACTGCACAGAGCTCAGGTAACTGACCTTTGGTGATCCTCTGACCTCTCCTCCATCGCAATTGTGAGGTGGACGTTTGTAGTTTTGAGTGAAAGCCATGAAACTCAGCACAGAGATTCATATTATCCTCTGGATGAACTATTTTTTTTATAAGATTTTAAAAACTAAGACATACAATCTTAACAAAACACAAACAAAAACAACAACAAAGAAAAGAAAACAATACAAAAAAAAAGACTTATAGTAACACACATCACAGAAACGTACAAACTCAGCATCTGTATATTCATATCTGATCATCATCAACATCATCATCTCTCACTTTATAAACTCAAAAACAAAAACAAAACGATATTTTAGATTGTTACCAATAATTATTTCCGAAGTGGCATTGTTGTCCACTTATCCCTCTGTAACAACCACACCAAAAAAAAGATAAAGATAAGTAAAGGAAGTAGAACAAAACAAAACCTCAAATCATCGTCTGGATGAAGGACCATTGTTGGGACAAAATTTCAGTTTGTCTAATACTTTGGTTTATGACAGAATACTTGACATCGGCCACACAAAAGCACATCAGACCGATAATCTTTGAAAAAAATCATATTCCCCTTCCTCCTCATAGTGTATAGTGTGTGCACGTGAAAGAAAATAACCAATCAGAGCCAAGGAGTCTCTAACACAGCTATCAGTCATGTCAATCACTGCGCGTGGACTGTGGTCAAACTGTCAAAGAGACGTCTATGCTGCTACATGTAGCTACATGCTAATCTCAGTTTTTCCCTGATTTTGGATAAAATTACTGCTGGAACATGTGAAGTTGTGTTTTAAAAGATTTTATTTATGGTTTTTCCCACGGAAGAAAGTGCCACTGTACTCTGTTACAGTCATTCCCCAGCTGCACGTACGCTGCTACATGTAGGTACATGCTAATGTCAGGGAAATATGTAATCTCTGTTGATGATGTTGATTATTACCTCCGCCAAGGAGATTATGTTTTCGCCGGCGTTGGTCTGTTTGTCTGTTTGTTTGTCTGCAAAATAACTCAAAAAGTTCTGAACGGATTTTGATTAAATTTTCAGGAAAGGTTGATAATGGGACAAGGAACAGATTTTGGTGGTGATCGATTGAAGCGAAGTGGATAAAATGATAAAATGGCAGGGAATCCGAGCTGCTTCGCGGAGGTCAGCGCTCTCTGAGTGCTTTTCTAGTTTATTCTCGATTTTAGATTACTGCTGGAACATGAAAAAAAATCATATTCCCCTGCCTCCTTGTAGTGTGCAGTGTGTGTATGTGAAAGAAAATAACCAATCAGAGCCAAGGAGTCTCTAAAGTAGCTATCAGTCATGTCAATCACTGCCTTTACATTGAACTTAATAAACATACATGCAAGTTGTCATTGTGAGCACATTAGCATGTTGACGTAAGCATTAAGCTCAAAGTATCACTGTGCCTAAGTACAGCCTCAGAGAGCTGCCAGCATGACTGCAGGCTCTTAGTCTTGTTTTGACGTTGAAAGTAGGTTTAATGCATATGTTGGTTTAAACATGATGTTTGGGTGCTGAATAGCTTTCAAACAGTCAGGCTCTTAGTCTTGTTTTGACATTGAAAGTAGGTTTAATGCATGTGTTGGTTTACTTATGATGTTTGTGTGCTGAACAGCTTTCAGTCAGACGAGGGTGTTTTCCATCAAACCATTATTAACATCATGCAAAAAAATTAACTGGGTTACGTGTATGCCAGTAGTGTTGGTGTTGTACAAGAGGAAGGCTACATTAGTATTGTTGTCACTGTTTTATTTATTTGTTTTTTTCACAAACCATATGGTCACTCTAATGTGACTCAGCCTTCTTGGAGTGCGGCCAGATTCATCCTTCGGTTTGGAAATCCACTGTGATTGATGTTGTAACTCTGCAGTCAGGCTTCCAGTCCACTGACTCAGCACTAAGCCACAGCTAAAGTCTCTGCTCCCGGAGCCGTGGTTAGCTGGCCTAAATTTTGCTTCCTTTTAGTGGCTATTTGCAGAACCCAAACTGTGCTTCTTGTTTAGCTCCTCTTTCTGTGTTGCACTGATAAAGTTGAGCACTGACAGAGGAAGTTAAAGTCCGGGGGGGGGGCTTAAATTTAGCTGTTTCTGCTCATTTGATCGTTCCACCCATACATCACTTTACCTAAATCAAACCAATAAATGAAATCTTACACAATCATAATCATTTCAAATATCATTAAACCGGATCACTTCTCTTGTATCTATTGTATATCACACACCACTAACATTGGATACAAAAGGCAATTCTCCATTTCACCAGAGGGGGCTCTGTGGGCTCAATTTGCCAGTCAGGCTTTTGAAGACATGCAAAACCCATTTGAAGTAGTTTGAACTGGTTTACACGGGCCATTCAAAGAAATTATCTTCAATTATTGCCCACTTAGTATTCCTGGCAGATAAAAGCCAGTAGTACTTGTGAAGATGACACTGAATAAGTGCAATAAGTCAGCATTTAAATTACTGAATTAAACGAAAACATGAAAGGATTTTTTGTACAGTGGCTATGGTACTTTAAGGGTTTAAATAAAAAAAAAAAAAAAAGAATATGTCCTTGATATCGAAGGGGACCAATTATGCTTAATTCATTTTCTGTTATATATGTTATGTTACAATGTTGGGTGTTCATATTAGATGTGGTCAAAGTTTAAAATAATGACGTAAACATGTAAAAGTGATCATTGTGAGCAAAAACCTCAGGCTTCAGACCGTTCTGAATTCTCTTTCCAACTGTTTTCCTACTTAACTTACATGTTAACATCAGATCGTGATGGATTTCTTTATATGGTTATCTGCTCCAGGCACGTCACTGCAAGTGTTTACATTAGCCTACGCTGCTACATGTAGCTACATGCAAATGTTGAGGAAAAAATGTGATCTTGGTTGTTAATTTTTCCCTGATTTTGGATCATATTACTGCTGGAATATGTATAGTCATGTTTTAAAGATTTGTTTTTTGTTTTTGTTTTTTTATGGTAGAAAGTGCCACTGTACTCTATTAACAGTCCCCAGCCGCAAGTATGCTGCTACATGTAGCTACATGCTAATGTCAGGGAAAAAAATGTAATCTTGGTTGCAAATGTTAATTTTTCCCTAATTTCTGATCATATTATTGCTGCAACATGTCAGGTTGGGTTTAGTAGCTTTCATTTGGGATTTTTCACTGTAGAAAGTATCGCTGTACTCTGTTACAGTCATTCCCTTGCCACAAGTACATTGCTACATGTAGCTACATGCTAATGTCAGGTAAAAAATAATAATGGTTGTTGGTATTGTTAATTTTTCCCTGAATTTGGATCACATTACTGTTGGAACATATCTAGTTGTGTTTAGAAGCTTTTATTTATGATTTTTCACAGTAGAAAATGTTGTTGTACTCTGTTAACAGTCATTCTCCAGCTGAAAGTACGCTGCTACATGTGTGTTATTGGTGATTTTTTTTGTGGTAAAAATGCTGCTATAATCTGTTACAGTCTTCCCCTGGCTGCAAATAATAGTGCAGGAATGCAAAGAGCATAGATACTGAAGACCCAGAAAGGCTGACCAATCAGAGCAGAAATATTTTTTGTTTGTTTGTTTTGTTTTTTCGGGAGAGGGGGCTTAAAGAAACAGGTGCTAAACCAGAGGGTTTCAGACAGAGGGTGAAGTTGTTCCAGCACAGACAGTATGAAGAAAATAAAGAGTTGAACATCAAAGCATATAAACATGTTCTGGTTAAAAAAACAACTAAAATACAAATATGAATGTGAAAATAAACATAATAGGTGCCCTTCAACACTGGTTTACTTTTTTCTCATAGCATTAGTAGTTTCAAAGTAGGTAAAAGTTGTGGTAATGAAATTTTGTACGTGCTGTTTCACCTGGCTCTGTGGCCTTGGCCTCCAATTACAGAGCCCTTCAAAAGAGTTATTCATTGACAGGTCCTTCACCTCCTTTGATACTTTCCGCTCAACTGGTGATTAAGATTGAGTCCTCTCCATTGGGAAGTGATTTTACTTTAAAATGTTTTGTGTCAAAAGGCTGAACACCTTGGCTGCCCAGAGCTGTATTTGTAAATGGGAACGACTGAGTTTAATACGGGTGTTGAGGCTGAATGCTCCTCTCAGACATCCTAAGAGGCTGCATCCCCTCTATAATTCCCCCCCCTTCACTGCCAATAACCAGTGAGAGTGTGGCGATGGCCAAAAAGCTGAGAACTATGAAATATTAATAGTTTTTGTTAAAATTCATGAAATAATATTTGCCTGTCAGAACAGCCTCACGTACTTGTAGACATCAATACACTTCCAATTAGCGGTGCTCCCGCTGTGCCTCCAGCCATTTATTTTTAATGAGGGTAAACTGTTGCATCAGTTGAGTGTTAGAGGTAACCTCTGCAGCCACGTCCCTCAGAAACCTGTGACACAAATCAGCCGTAATTAGTGGGAGATGTTGTTATTTTGTGCACCCATGTGACATAACTTGTCTGCGATGTAACTGTGTTTATGTATTTGTGCATTTCATTAATAACTCTAACCTGCTTGTTTGTTCAGATCATCCAGAGACAGTTGGAGCAGGTGGAGGAAAAGCAGAGGCAGCTGGAGGAAAGGGGCGTAGCTGTGGAGAAAGCTTTGAGAGGAGAAGCAGGTAAAGACTCGTCACCTACACCGTCAGACATTTGTTTCTTAGATGAATCTGGCCATCTCCCGCGTCGTGGTGTATCGGTAATGCTACTGCAGATAGACGAATGCCCACATTAAATGAACTGAGGGGTGTTGTAAGTTTCATAACACATTTAACTCTCTTATTATTAACATTTTACAAGTGATTTACTGTATGTAAGGCAATTAAAGCTTGTTTTTGTGTTAGCGCTGGCTCCGCGAGGCCATGTTTTATCTTTATATATCAGTTCAGACTTCTCTAGAGCACTAAAGGGAATAATAATAATATCGATAATTAGGATGATGTAACCAAGACGATGCATTACCTCAGAAAAGCTGTCCCTCCGCGATCATTTCAATTGTATTAAAATTACACTTATACAGTCTTGCTGAAACGTTTTCCAGCCTGTAGATTTGTGTGCAGAAAGACGTATTTGTTTCTCCAAAGTAATAAAGCCAAATTGGTCTTGACAAGGGACTATCACAGACAATATATTTCCGAGATGAAGAATACATTATTTGTTAGCGGGCAGCGCAGTTCATTATTTGGTGCAGTTTTATAAGTGTGAAGCATGGATAGCGCTCAGTAGCAGTAACACATTATCTACGTGATGTGAGTTTTGAATGCGATTAAGACACTGAGGTTGTCCTTTACAGAGCTGACAGAGTGTTCCATCCTAATTTACTTAATGGTGATGGCAACAGAAGCTTTTATCATGCAAATGCACGCACGTAAATCCGACCGCTCTCTCACCGAACTAAATGACTATTTACTTTTCCCATCAGCTGTGTCTCCAGTTAATTGTTTGAGTATGTTTTAACTTGTTTACTACTCTACTCTCTTAAAGGATTGTATAAAGGTACTTATACATTACCCAAACAGCACAAAAGAAGATCAGGTATTAGATCTACCAATGTTTTTTTTCCCCCTTATTAATGACATGTGACACTGTTATGTAGGCTCCATCTGTGGTGACACACTGCAACAGTTCTCCATCTCTAAACATTGTCGGTCTCTGTCCGTCCATAACGTGTCCGCCATCGTCAGTCCGAGCTGCATGCGACCGGGAGAATGTGTGTCCCCGACATAGATTTGTGTTTGCTCATTCTGGATGTGTTTTGTCCTTCACCGCCTCTCAATGAGGAGAGTTTCTGTACTCTGATCAAGACTCAGATCACGTCACATTTTCGTAAATGCAATCAAAATGTAAGAAATCTAATATAAATTGGGTTTGCAGGCTGACAACTTCTTTATTAGAATATTTTCCGCAAATGTTTGCTGTGGCTGAGTGACTTGATGCAGACGTTGGTTGAGATTTTATCTTTTATGTATATTTTTTTTATTGTGGTAACAGCAATCCAGAGTTGTTTGTGACTTTGTCTGTCGTACTTAAAGATCACACTTAACACTCAGCCACTCTTTCAGTCTGAAATAATTAAGTATTAAATCAGAAATTATTCTCATCGAACATTGGTGCAATTGGATTGAATATTAGAGCTTTTCTCGCTGTTTGAATCAGCTACAATTTGTCAAATTAAATGTACACCATACAAAAAAATAATGCCCTCGACACATTACAAGAGGCTTTGTGTGATATTAAGCAGACTGAGCCAGTAAACAGCAATACAGCAAATCTATGTTGCAGCCTCTTATTATTTTGGAAAATGCCATGTAGCATTGCTCAACCTGACTTGCGTTCTGCACTGTGGTGAGTACTGTCGGACTCTCTTTGTTCTGAGTGTCACTGCGGTGTGTATGCGTGTGTCCATGTGCAAGAACATGCATGACTTGCCGTTGTTGGAGAATTTTGTGTGTGTGTTTGTGTGCCCAGTTTGGGGCCGTGTGAAATAACTCCTATCTCTAATATATCCCTGTCATTGTAGACTATTGGGGAGATTCTAATTACAGTGAAATCCTGGACTTGCATCTGGGCGGTATGTATTTCAAATCTGTCGCTTTAAACTAACCTAATGGCTAACCCAATCTGTCCTCCTCCCCCCCTTTTTCTTTTACGACTTGAGCTTTGTACCCCTCATATCTACCTTGATTGGCTGACTGGCTGGCTGGCTGAATGGCTGGCTGGCTTTCAGCTACATTGCAACACTTTATGCTCCTGTAACCCCCCCCCCCCCACTGGGGTTTCTAGTTCAGACACTCTTTACATCAAACAGAGATAAGACACTTGGCCTCATGCTGTCCTCTTAAGATCATCCTTGATCTCGATGAACTCATGAAAGATGAATGCATGAATGAATAAGTAACTTTTATTTGTCATTCCTCAGTGCGCAGACTGTATAATACAGACTGCAGCAGAGACGCAAACAGAGACATATTGCAGAGTCACAAATAAAATAATAAAAAAACAGCAAAATAGATTCTTGCATTCAAAGAAATATGCGGTCCACTCCAGGACAGTCAACAAATAAGTAGTAACACAATGAAATGAAAGTAAATAATGCAATGACACTGATGACTGTGCAGTTTCATACTACATATAGAACATGCTCTTTAAAGATTGCCTCACATAATAGCCCAAAAAATTGTAAACCAAAATCATGTTGTAGCAGCATGATGGTACTTTGGGATTCTGATTTGAAGTTGAATGTTGCTGATATTCTATATTTTTCATATTGTCAGCAAAAAATATCTCTTGTCATCCCATGTAAAGAGAAAAATAAACAATATTGATGCTACTAGCACTTATTCCTCTGTGCCATAGAACTCAACTGTTATCTAAAACCTATTAAAAACACATCAATGACTATGTTTAAATGCACAAAATATTTTTTTTTTTTCTGCCATTATTCCAAAAAAGACAATTTTTTCCCTTTAAGCTGTGTACGTGGCTAAATTTCCTGTTGACATGCAGCCATGATAAAAGTGTCCTAACATGCTGTTTATCACATCAAAATATGGAAACGTGGAGCAGCAGGAGCATCTCGTGCTGTTTTGCTTCTGTGCATCAAAATAGGATCCTTCAGAGTTCTCCACTGGTGGCGAACTTCTTCGACCACGCCTACATTGCCTCCCTCTTCCATTTCTTCAGCCACCTTCTATGAAAGGTCGGGGTTGCAATATTTAATTGCATATCCAAAAACCTCTTAATATCATAGTCTTTTATAATGTTTATAAGTAGATGTGTTTCTTCTTCTGAACGGAAATGTGGGCTTTTTTTAGGCATGCATCTGTCCCCCACAGCCTTGCAAACTGTTGGCTAGTTGGATTGTGTACAACACAGAGAGCAGACAGTAAAAAGGCCAGAGGCCGTGTGTTGCAAACTGCAGTAAAAAACCCCCCATTTGAGACACATATTCTGAATGCGTTGTATACATATCAAAGAATGCGCCTGAAACCTGATAATAACAACATATCCTATATCTTATTTGTAAAAAGGCCTAATTCAGAATTGCCAAACAAAATATGCCGTATCAAATTCAGAATATCGTCATGTTCGGAATAAAAGTGGAATGTTAGTGTGCATGGAAACCTAGTCACTGAGCTGCACTGTTGCACAATACAAGCATTATAGTTTATTTTGAATGAAGCACACACACTCTGTCCTGCTGCCATAAACTAGTGCATCACATATGTATTATTCCACAGCTGAAAATAGTCCCCGACAAATCCTATTTACTCCTCTTGTAGTTATGTTTTTTAAAAACTACAGCACCCAGCTGTTTTTTGTTTCTGTACCAACATGCACTTAGAAAAGAGACACATGTTGCAATGCGCTCACATTTACAAACACATAACCCCCTCCTCACACACATGCAAACACTGTGAAAGTATTGTATAACCTACCCTGGACTAACTCATGCTAAACTGCTGGCATGGCTCTTAGCTTCCCCTCGGAGCTCTGCGCTGCTGTAGCCCTGTCCTGTAGTCCCAGCAATGGCTCCCCTGACTTTCTCATACCTGCTCAGTTGCATAACTCCCCAAGTTTGTGTGTGTGTGTGTAGTGTGTGCTAATAGGCAATGTTGCAACCACTGACCCGTAGCTGCTGTGTCTAAGCTGTGATTGACCAATAGTAACCGTGTCGGCCGTGTCTGGGTGAGACGTCTCGTGGTATCTGTTGTTATCCTGTAGACTGTGGCCTTTCTGAATATGAGTAGAATGCATCTATTCCTCGTCAGGCCTGCTGGGAATCAGCAGGCTTTATAGTTTTTCAGTGTTAGTGAAATCCCGCAGCAGGATTGAGGAATACAGGTGCATTTACACATATTTGAGCAAGGCCTGCGCTTCTCTGTTGGTTTTGTCCTGCTGGTTGTTGTCAATCATCAGACAGGAGATTGCGTGGAGTTTTCTCGTAAAGATGAATATACCTCTAACTCAGCTGGTTGACCAGGGTACTTACACGGAGACGTGACGTTTCTTCAGCTCCTTCCATGCAGTGTGTGAATGCTAAAACAGTTGGTGTCTCACTTTGAATCTTTGTGACTGGAAATGGTGTCTGAATTCCTTTTTGTCTTACTGTACTATGTTTGATGGTGTGATGGGAAATTGTTGTATTTTGACTGTAAGGTGCACAGCTGCTCTGTCAGCGTGGTTATATTTGAGTCCTGCAGGGGGCACCAAAACTAAAGCCAGGATCAATACGTCTGAAGCTGATAAGTTATATTATTTTCCTTATAATTTTAATCTTCTACTTTAATGATTATACAATTAAGGATTTACTGAGCGTAAAGTTCCAACGATGCATTTCACAGCTATATTTGCATGATTTGGCGGAGCCATAAAAATTTTATTAGGACTCCAATCTGTCCAAAATAGATTTTCTAAACTGCAGTTTTTCCCCCACAGATTTTTATATTTCTCTCTGTGATAGTCCCTTGTAGTAATTCTCACTCTCCTGGCTCCTTTACCCACCAGCCTGAGAACACTTTGTCTGCCTCCCATATGTGTCATGTAATGGCCCATATGTCTGTGTCAATATCAAATATCTGTTTCCCCCAGTTATCTGTACATACACTCCCTTTGCACTTATTCTGCAGCCTTAATTTTGGGGTAGCACACACTAGCTGTGATCTACCTTTTGTGAGAATTTTAGTTTAATAGGTCCATATTAGAAACTGTCCTAATTTGCACTTCAATAGTAGCTACACTTCAAAAGTCACCACGCTGGCAACAAATTGAGCCAGGCGGTCTAAACATTCAAGTAGTGTTTCCAAGGAGAGGGTGAAATATCTTTAAAGCAGAAGCAATTATCTGTGTCTGTGAAGGAGATGGATCTCGTGATGATCAGTAATGACTTTAATAATGGGATTAAATCATTATGTGTGCTGTGATGAACACTGGCCATATGTGTAGGCTAGTCCCATTTCATAACCGTCACAGGGTGCTGATGCCTAACTGAAGATTATCTGAGGAACCACAGATGAAAGATCAAACAGAGGGATTATTTCCCCTCCAAGTTTTTCTGTCTTCTCTTGTTTCCGTTTCCTATTTTTATCCCTTTTTTCATCCCTCACACCACACAGCTGATCTCTCCCACCTCCTCTCTCTAGGTGATTTGTCTTCTCCCTATCACAGTGCTCCTGCCCTCTTTTGATTTTCTCCTCAATTTTCTTTCTCCCTCATCACACCCCTCTTTCCCCACCTCGCCCCCTCTCCACCCACGCTCTGTGTCCTCTGCTCTTTCTCTCTCTCTGTTACGTTTCTCCCACATTATCTCCACCGCTCTCTCTCTCTCGCCCACCCATGCGCCGTCTACGTCACTCCCTCATGCTCTCCCCCCCCCTCTGTCTTGTGGAAGTTGAGCCCTTTGTGGGGATGCCACGCCGAAGACCTCTCTCCTTCTGCCCCTGCTGTTCCCCTGAAGGTAACGTAACCCCGCCGCCTCTGCTGACGGTTTTGGCGGGTTACCATGGCAACCGTAAGGATCTCCAGAGCTGGGCTACCCCCCTCTCGAGCCCCTCCCCCATCATCCTCCCAACCGGTCCTCCTCCTTTTCCTGTCCTCACCTTTTGTGTGTGATCAGGCTCAGTAGATTTCCCCAGATTGGTCCCAAAACTCAGTGAAGTATTCAGGCATTTATTAGAAAGAAACTGATTTTACATGTTGCAAAAAGCTCCATATACATTTCAGCACAATTTTGATCACTGCGTTAGACTTTACACTGTTAGAAGTACTGGTCAGATGGTCTTTTCTTTGATCACCATGACAATACACAGAGTTATTTTAGATCGATTGTCATCTTCCCCAAACCAAATAAGGAGCAGGACAGAGTCTGTCAGTACTGAAAATTCTAATGTACAGTCCTAGCTCATTGGCTTCCACATAGTATGTTCCAGGTCTAAGCAGGTATTTTTAGGGTTATCTAACCTGAAACCCATCAAAATTATGTAGTTAGTCACTTCTGTTGGTAGTAAGCGACGTTTGCAGCTTACTTTAAAGCAGGAAAATAGAATAAAATTAAATACATTCCTTAAAACGATAGTACACCCAAAAATGAAAATTCAGCCATTATCTACTCACCCATATGCCTAGGGAGGCTCAGGTGAAGTTTTAGAGTCCTCACATCCCTTGTGGAGATCCAAGGGGAGAGTGGGTAGCAGCACAATTCCACCTAATGGAGGCTGGGCGCCACAGATTAAAATGTCCAAAAAACACATAATTGAAACCACAAAATATCTCCATACTGCTCGTCCGTAGTGATCCAAGTGTCCTGAAGCCCTCTCGTGCAAGCGCACACACGTGAGCATGGTCCACAGAGAGGCAGTTAGAGCTACAGGCTGCAATGAGGCTAAAAACAGAGTTCAAATGACGTTTTTCCAAACAACTTTTTATGTCGGGGCTTCAGGACACTTGGATCACTACAGACGAGCAGTATGGAGATACTTTGTGGTTTCAATTATGTGTTTTTTGGACGTTTGAATCTGGGGCGCCATAAGCCTGCATTAGGTGGAGTTGTGTTGCTACCCCCTCTCCCCTGGGATCTCTGCAAGTGATGTGAGGACTCTAAAACTTCACCTGAGCCTCCCTCAGCATGAGGGTGAGTAGATAATGGCTGAATTTTCATTTTTGGGTGCATTATGCCTTTAAGGCCTTTACATGCTGGGGACGTGACAAATAATTAAAATAAAGATGCAAAATACTCACCTGCAAATATTGTGCATTAAAACTATTTATACCGGCAGTGATTAGACTTTGCGACAGTTGCTACGCTTGTTCAGTATCAGGTTGGAATAGATTGGCACAAGCTCATTATTCAGAAAAAATGATGATGACATTGCCCTCCTCCTCCTCACTTGACAAAAAGAAGAGGCAGGTTATGACCCATTTTACAAAAATTCTATTTTTAATGTATTGGAAATGGTCCTATGTGTTTCTTTGGCTTGAAAAAAAATTACAATTAACTACTAAACTCAGGACCCACTTGATTAATCATGAGGGATCCAGCTAAAAACAGGTCATGGATGGTCGCCATTTTGAAAGTCCACGATGGCCACCACAGAGACTTCGAAAAAAAAGGGGAAACATTGGTTTTGGGGTTTGTCACACTCTAAACTTTACAAAAATGTATAGTTTATAAACTCCCCAAAGATTTTGAACGAAGGTTGAAATCAGGACATAGTGAACCTGACTAAAAGTAGAGAAGGAGAAGGAGAGTTCCACTGCGTCATATAGGAGCTGAAGCTCGCCTATGGATGGTTCTGGACATATTTTAGGATGTCTGTGGGACAGATTGAGGTCCATTATTCATTTGTAGGCAACAGTAAGGCTATATTTAGGTTACACAAAACCCTCCTTCAAATTATACCATTATCTTGGGCTTGTCAGGCTTTCAGACCTGTATATAATTTACCATGATTTGGATACATTGTAAACTTGGTATGTTAATGTTGGTCCAGTAGGTGTTAGGTGGTAGTCCAGTAGTAGAAAAGCTATTGACTATAGGCTGCAGCAGTTAACCAGGAGACTGTCTACTACACAAGTGATCAACAAGTCAGCCATTGCCGTGACATTGTGACGTGACGTCTGCTTCGCACAATGTGACTAGTTGATGCCTTAACACGAGGTGAGAGAGCTCAGAATGTTCTACCTTGTTATGAAAAAAAATAACTTATTCATATTCTGTGTCGAAGTACTCGACAAAAACTCGGAAAAAATAAACTGATGTGCGAATGAATCACATGAAAAAACACCCCGGTGTGTAAAGGTCTTTGCACTTTGGCTCTTGGTGTTGCAAAAAAAGACACTACCATCCAAACTTTTGATACTTGAAACTTTTAATACGCCAGTGTAGCTCTTACGTAAGCATAATTCACAATTCTCAATCTGAACTGTGAAATCCAAAGCTCGACAGGCATGTTGTGCAGCGTTGCCAGATTTGGCTACTTTTTATTTAATTAGGCGGCTAAATATTACAGGCAGTGGCCATCAAAACCAAATGTCATTTCAGTTTATTGCAACCAGGTTGAAACTTATTTTCCTATTCAGTTATTACTCCTCATAGCTCTGTGATCAAAGACTTGTCAAAGCTGCATATATAATTGAAGATTTTTAATATTTAATGTTACATTATCCAAAAGACTCTGTAAAAAAAAGTGTCATCATTGTTACTGAGTAACTGTCAACAACAAAAAATCCTAAATGAAAATTTAACATTGGACTACTTCTATGATGATTGGGCTACTTTTTGTGAGTCAAATCAGGAGACACTGCCGTACATATAGTCGCAGTTACTGAGCTGTGATTGGAGGTCAGTTGTAGCCCAGCAACACACACATTTGAGCAGCAGAATGCATTATACTTATACTGTGTGTTGTAGATGTAATGCACACAAGCATAGTGTCTCAGGAAATTGAATAATAGGAAAAAAGATCTTTTCTCTACCTCTGTTCGCATGAAGGGGAAACTACTCTGCTGTAGTGTGTCTTTAATCAGCAGCATGTGTTCTGTTTTCTGTGTAGCCTTAATTAATCGTAAAGCTGCATCCTGCAGTTGTTTTTAGGAATTCTGTCTTGTATCCCTTGACTAATTGTGAGGAGTGTCATGTAATCATAAAACTATAACAAAACTGGGCTGTGAACACCTGAGACGCGGCTGGCTCGCAGGCAGGTTCGTGGTTCGTGGAGTGAGAAACTTGCATGGTTTGATGATTTGTTATAAATATTCACGTCTTACGCAAAACAGGGTCCTAAAACATTAATGGATCATCTGGTTTGTTCCCGTATCTAACACCTGTCGGTGGAAATTTTTGCCTGAGCTTCTAAGAAACATGCTTTTGTGTCTGTGTGTGATCTGGTGTTTTGTTCCTTTATCGCCTGGTACCGGTGGCTCTTCTTTGTGTTGGGAGCCTTGGGCTGAAGGGTGGTAACAGTGGAGCAGGTTGAAATAGTTTAAGAGACGAGAAAAAGAAATCCATTCGTAGGACAGGTTTGGAAACTCAGCCTTGCTTTTATAATTCCTCCTTTGTCCCCACACACTGTATTCCTCTCCAGTGTGAGCAGCTCTTCTCCAGCTTTGCCTCTCTCTATCCCTTGTCTGTTAATTAGCGAAAGCCACCCCCCCGAGACCACAACCATGCGATTTATGTGTGTACAGTGTTTTTCCTTTTCGTTTTGCAAGAGCCTCCTCTTCCCCAGCTAAGTATGTCACGCTGCATCGAGGTTCGCCTCCTGGTGTTTCACTGAAACCGCTTGGTTCCACCTGCTGCAGTCAGATAAATGAAAAAGGATGCATCGTCCCAGCAGCAGCAGACCTTTCTAAGCATGCCATGTAGACTGGTCTTCTGTGCATTCGGCGGGACTGGAGGAGACGTGTGCAGCTGTTCTGCATGATGCCAGCAGCGCCGAACATGCTTTACCCTAAGGCAGACTTAATAGAGCAGTGTGAGCGCTCCTCTATTGGTCTCAATGATAAGCCATCCCATGAACATTTGACCTTGTAATTGAATATGTAAAGACAGCGGAATAATTCATGCATTTTTTTTCCACCCTCAAAACGCTCAGCATGAATGGGATGTAAAAGGATTTTCTTACTGCTGGTGGGTCAATATGTGGGCAGGGGAGGATGAAGAATTTCCATTGGGTCCTTGGGTTTACTTCTCTGTAATGTCGTAGCTGCTGATTGGTGTGTTTGTGTGTTTTTTCTTTTCTTACTACCCACCCACTCTGAAAAAAACAAACTGATAGGAGGAAGTAGTTGCTCCCAAAGAGCAGCTACATCTGACACTTAAGTCCAAACTGGGTAACACAAACTCTCAACTTTACAACAACAGGTATTGTCCGATTGTGTGTGCGTGTGGGTTGTGTGTGCGTGTATGTATGTATGTATGTATGTATGTATTCACAAAAATTGAAACCTGTAGCTCCACGCCATCTTCTGTGCGCCATCTTTGAGTATGGCATGACTGACCACGTTGGTGTCGAGTCCATCCTTCCACCTCACCGCCCCACCCCCACCCCCTCAGCGAGGACATCCTGGCTTGGCTGTCATTGCATTGCCTGTGTCAGTCCTTGTCTGTGTGACATCATGTCTGTGTCATCTCCCGGGCCATCTGGCGTCTTACTCCCACTCTGTGCTTCCTCCTTCCCTCCAGGCATGGGCAAGAAAGACGATCCCAAGCTAATGCAAGAGTGGTTCAAGCTGGTGCAGGAGAAAAATGCCCTGGTCCGCTATGAGTCAGAGCTCATGATATTGTAAGTACATTACTGACTGTTGAGATGGGTTAGCTAATCAGTGGATTGATTCATCAAAGGGGCTTTTCATCTCCAGGAAGCATAGATAAGCTGTGATATATTGATTGCTATGTCATCTCTTGTAGTAACCAAGCATCTAGTCTGAAATGCCTTCCTTATATATTTATCAGGGTTCCCAAGGTCATGGAATTTCTGGAAAAGTTATGATATTAGAAAAACGTTTTCCAGGCCTGAAAATGGTTTGGCATTAACAGAATGTTTTGAAACCAGGAAAATACAACACATGCAATAATACAGTATCCAAACTAGTCTCTTACACTACTGATGGATAGCTAATGTTGAGTGGGAGACTGCTGCAGTACAGTCATACAGTACAGCAGCATCAGACTGTCTGACCCTAACTAAACCCCAGCCTGATAAAGTGTTGGCTCTTAACAGGTTGCTTATTTACAGACAACACTTAGCATAATGATACCTGGTGATTCAGTCAAATTAAAATGAATTACCAGATATTGTGATAGTAATAATCTGGCCGTTGTGTTGGGTCATTTATCCACTTGGATGGGAGAAGCCAGAGGGAACAACTTTAATTTGTTCAAGTATTGTGAGCACTCAGGTTCAGGCAAGGTTGCAAAACAATTAGATATGTCTATAAAACAGGTGTTTGTTTAAAAATGATTGCATACAAACTTCTACTACTCAAAATTATAATCCTCGCGTGTCAAATTAAATTGACATTTATATGATTTTGGTTTTTATATCCTCCAAAAAAGGGTGCAGACTTCACGTTTTATGAGGTATCCCTTGTATGTGTCGGTCTGGTCTGCTGGCATGTGCAGCAAGTTGGCAAGTAAAGTTAGCAAGTGCTGGCAGTTTGCTTTTTCGCAAATACCTGGAAAGTGATGGTTTAATAATGTATGGCTGGATCACAATAAAGTATAGGGCTACTCATTTTAAACTACTTGAATAAGGGGGTGGGTGAGAATATGAACATATAGTCACTAGGGTGGGCGATATGGCCCTACAATAATATCACGATATTTGAGAGTAATATGACAAATTAGTAATTAAAGAAAATATGGCAACAAAATAAGTGATATAGTTTTATTTGTCAATCCAACAGTTGGCCTTCAGATATTCAGTAAAAACTAAGCAAAATGATCTCTCATTTCTTTAGTTTGTGAACAACAACAGCAACTCAGATTCTGTATACAGTATTAATAGTTCAACAAAATTAAATCTACGTCAAATTACACAATATAAAAAATGTACCCTGGGATCAACATATATATTAATCCACAGGCGATTTTCTTCTCTTTTAGGAAAATCCTAAATGATCGAGTTGGGTTTTTTTTCCATCTGGACCTTTATGCTAATGCCATTTCTCCTCTAATCATCACGATGTAACCTGTGACAGGCTGTTATGCCACTATAACTGTTGGACATTCACATATATGTCTTTTTTTGTGGAGCCGGGAGCATCACTTAGGTTTACATTACCAAAGGTTTATGACAAAATCACTCGACGACACCAACTCTTGTGTGTGCATGGCAAGAGAGGAGAGGGAGAGATGCTGTGCTGCTGCCAGAGGAGCCGCTGAATGAGTTCCCTCTGAGCAGTAACTCCCTAAAGGAGTCTGAGAAGTCCAGGGCTGTTTATAAAACATTCAGGACGCCACAGTTTATTCCACACTCCTGAAGCTGCTCGTCTTTTTGGAACCACTGCGGAGTAGCTAATAATGCCGCTTTCAGTCATGCTTGTTGTTGCCGTGGATAACAGTATGACGTCAATATGTCAGCAAGCCGAAATATCACAAGTATCATGATACAAATTTTTCATGTCATATTAAAAATTATACCAGTATTATCGTGAACAAGATGACATGGCACAGCCCTAATAGTCACATAGGTACACATGTATGTGTCAAATAATACTTTCAGAATTTTTATTTGGTTTGTAACAATACAATGGCTGTAAACGGTAAACAAGACCAGCATCTAATGTCACACTAAACTGGACTTTCTAAACACAGATTAACACTCATCACCTTCAGATGCAATTCGTCAGGCTCAGCTCTGGTTTGAGCCTAGTCCTAAGATTGTCTTGATAATATACATACAGCAAGCTGTTTTAACATTATTCTCAAAGTACAGCTGGGGCTGATGGGAATTTGGAGGTTAATTTAAGAGCTAACCTTCCATCAACTCAAGTCTGTCAAGCGGAAAATTTAACCTGGGAGTGGCGCTGCAGGGACATGGCGAGGGATTATCAGAGTTATGAGGATTGATTCATGGGAGCATGATTGTCTGCAATAGTTGTTGAGATATTTAATCCTGAACCAAACAAAGCAATGAAGCGACCAATAAAGGATATTGTCATCCCTACAAATGTAATGCAAACCGTAATACCTGTGATAAACAGCCTGATGATGTAATAATATTCCATCATTTAAGTAAAACGCAATTATAACCTAATAGAGAGTACACTGGAGATAAAATAATGCTGACTCATTACCCCCTTATTTTTATGATGATTGTTATTACATCGTGAGTTTAAAAAGGTTGTTAGCCCGTATGAAGTCATAATCATTTCTCAACATTACGATATGATGCGTGATCACATTCACAATCCATTTAGAGCAACAACTTTATCACACCCTGATAAGTCATTAAATTGTCCGGCGTTATCATCTCATTGTCACTTACTAAAAGCTTTTAGATGAACTATTCATCATTTTTTGGAACAACTAATAATTACAAACAAATCCCGCCTCGATAAATGAAGGTGCAGCCAAAAAGCATAAACGCCGAACGCTGTGATTCATCTCTGAAACAAACTAAGCACCTTTTTTTATTTCTGTCCCCAAGTGCCAGAGAGTTGGAGCTGGAGGACCGACAGAGCCGACTGCAGCAGGAACTCAGGGAGCGAATGGCTGTTGAAGGTAAACGCGGGAGTGTCACTTTAGCTCTGAATTTTTAGATCTGCTCACTGTCTTTAACTCCTTGTTTCCCTGTGCCTCTCTCAGACCACCTCAAGACAGAAAAGGAGCTCGCTCAAGAGAAGCAGATCCTGAATGAGATGTTGGAGGTGGTGGAGCAGCGTGACGCCCTGGTGGCCCTCCTGGAGGAGCAGAGGCTTCGGGAGAAGGAGGAGGACAAGGACCTGGAGGCCGTTATGCTCTCCAAAGGCTTCAACCTCAACTGGGCTTAAAAGGAGTGAAACAATTGCGAGTTGACTTTTGATAGGTCATCTTTGATCAGAATAGTCTGCTGAACACCCGCAGCAGTGAATGTGTAAAGATTCCCCCCACACACACACACACAAACACTACGACTGCCTCTGACATTGAAGCGGTCCGCAACGTTTACATATCCTCTGCCCAAAGGCAGTCCCAGTTCATCACTTTGCAGTTCTGCTTGCTCTGGCTCTCTGAGGGCGGAGAGGCGAGTACATTTACAGCTTTATTGTCCCAGCCTTGAAGTGGATCCTCTCAAACATAGGGGGGGACCTTTGGGAGAATGTTTAAAGACTTGTTTTATTCTCGATTATCTAAAGGGAAGAATGCAGTTCGGTCCTGCTGATGTAAAGGAATTGTAAAGAATCGTGTTTTTGTGTATAGCTGTGTAGAACAAGTCACATTTTTCATCGGATAAGGGCCCTCTCTTTTCCGAAAAGGACTGCTACAGAGGTGCGTTCAAATGCTGAATTGACGCCTCCAGCCTCAATCTCAGATTCTCCTCTTCAGTCTGACTGCAGGACGGACATCCTCTGCTGAAGCTGCCTTTCTACCCAGTGACAAACTGACTTCCTTAGGAACCATAAAGACACCATAAAAGGCTCTTTTCTCTCTCCCCTCACAGAGTGTTTTAGTGATTCAACACTAAGAATCCATTAAATATGGCCATGTTTTTTTCTTTTATGTATTTATTATCTTTGTTTGCTTTTAACAGATAAACATTTTTTGTTATGCATTCACAGGAGAGTGCCCAGAATCTCATTATCTTGCACTTGTGCATGACTCAGATGCACCCATAAGCCATTGCATGTCAGGAATGAAGGCTGCAGGCACATAGAAGAACTTTACCTTGTCCTTGATAGCTGGGACATAGAATACAGAGTTATGTTATACTGTATATGGATATTGAAGCATTTCACATGACTGGATAATGATGGGCCTCTCCTTGACATGCCATCCACTGTATATCACACTGACAGTTCACGTTTACAAATCCTGTCCATATTCGAGATTGGATGTTCATGTTTCCTACTATGGTAGTCAGTAGTGAGTTAAACCAACTGTTGAAAGGATTCATCTTTGAAGGAACTGTCTTTAAATTCAGATAAGTTTCCTACCGTGTGTGTCAACATCGAGACGTTATCATTAATGAAGCCGTTGTTTCACTGTTGTCATTAGGAGATTAGCGTAGCTCACTCATTTTGTGCCACAGGACTGTCTCTGTTGGTGGACATGCTGCAGTGTCTGAGGAGTACACCGCGAGGACTTACACACTACACACCACTCACATCAGTATATGGCAGTGTTATCACTTTACCCTTGAACAAGATGCCTTTTTCATTTTCATTCTCTATTAAGTTATATTTTATTTTTCTGAGCTGACTTGTTTTTGAGGTAGTCACATATGTGTATCCCACTGGATCTCAAGATTTTTACTTTTCTTTTTCAAACACTTTTCTACAGCAGGTCCCCAAACAACCACGCAGATGATTTTAAATGGGGCGCTGAAGACATGCAAAGTGCTTTATGAGCAACTTGCATCAAACGGGAACGTCGCGGTTTATCTGGTGGGCAGTCAAATCGAATAGCCTTTTTGACGACTGTAAAAAAAAATCCAGGTGGTCACTGTTTTACAGCACAGAAACACTAGAGGCTATATTTATGACATGGTATGAGCTGTGAATAAAATGAAAAAAGTGACATAATTTTAAAGGTTGTTGTTTTAGATGGCGTGTGATAAGTTTGACATGATTGTATTGATATTTATTAACATGTGTGCAAAACTGTATTATATGTAAAGAAAATGAATCCTAATTTTTAAACTGTTCCGTTGACACATGACTTGTAATGTAAATGCTTCATGTAGCTAAAATGCATAGGGGTGTTGGATGTATGCTGAAAACGGCAATAAAACAATGCAGTTGGTCTTGTAAGTGTTCTGCTAAAGCCTCTCTTTTCAATGTGTTACAGCTATGAGTGACAATTACAGGATAGAAGTGACGTAATTTTTGGCTGATTTAGGCTAAAACCTGTTTATTTCTGCAGAGAACATGAGATACTGCAGCAAAAATGAGCTGTAAACCCAAATGTATATGTGTATTACGTATTACAGTCAGGCTACATGGGTTGGAAATCAAGTTTTTGTTTGCCTGCCACTGTGGCTGCTGAGTTCCAAAACTGACCAGCCGCTCCATAGACTACTAATGTTATGTTGGCTGGTGAATGAAGCAATAAAGCAGCAACTTGCATATGTTACCAGCATTTGGTCAGTGGCTGGTGCCAATTTCCAGCCCTACAAGCTACATGGGTTTTGAGACATGGTATATGTAAAGTAGCATATATATATTTTGATAAATACTCAATAAACCATAGCTACATATGGGACAAAGTTAGGCTGTCTCTGTGACGGAGCCACTGAGGTAGTAGTCTGGCAATGTAGTGTTGCACCTCTGTAAAGCTGCGGACTCAACAGAATACAGCATGGATCAAATTGCAGAGGCAGAGAACACTGACTTTGAGGCCCTCCTGTCAAGTGTAAAAAAAGTGTCCTACATTTCCCATAATGCAACCAAGAGCAACTGCTCTTTAGACCAGGGATAAGCACCTGTGACTCCAGAGGTGCATGCGGTTCTTTATCCCCTCTCCAATGGCTCCCTGTCACTTCGACAATAATTATATGGAAATGAATAACTTTTTTTTTTAAACATTTTAATTTTCATTTATCGTTCTTGTCGGGCTAAATTGATACTTAAATTCACCAATTGTAAAAAATGTGTAGCCTATAAACTAAATAAATTGTTAATTTTAGGTTAATTTTAGGTTTCAAATCCCAAAAAATAAGAATAGTCTCAGAGGAAAATAGAAAATTTTATAGTGTGTGGACAGATTTGTTTGCTTTCACTGCCAGTGCTGCAAAGTTAAAAGTAGGAACCCTGTGTCAGACCCTCCCTCTTGAAAACTTTAAGTCTTCAAACAGACTGGGATAACTCTGATTACCTCATCAAGGGGGTTATTCAAACCCTCTGCTATCATTTTGTCACCAAGGCTAATTTCCTCAGACTTGACAGAGCTCCTTCAGGGCCACAGATGTTGGCTGAATAGTCCTCCTTAGGCCAAGTAAACTAACGTTTATGTGTCTAATCAGTGGAATAGCTCTTGAACATTGAAAAAGCGATAGAGAGGCCCCACTACAGAGTCCTAAAACCTGGAAATGACTTGGCAATTTTGCACTCTCAGTTCCCTTGTCTTGAAGTCAGGGGGATTTTGGTTAGGTGTGTGGTTAACACAAGCTTAAGACACTTTCAGAAAATCCATCAGTAATTACCCCATTGGTGAACTTAGAAGCTTCTATGTGTCTTAAAAAAGGCGGTTGCAAACAAGTGGTTTTATGAGACCACAGAAAGTCATCACGCTGTGCCGCACCTTTACAGTCTTGTCATGGTGGTGATATTAAGTCATGCAAAATTTTTTATTAACAAACAGAAATTCTCCAAGTCACATGCTGAATATTGCTGAACCTGCTGTTTTGTAAATGTACTTTTTCCTAAGAAAAAACCCAAACAAAACAAACAAACAAAAAAAACCTTTGGTCATGCTGCTGTAGTATGGTTTGTTTATAGCTTAGCTCTTGTTCTTCTGGCGATTGCATTCAGGCTTCAGCAATTATCAAAGAAGTGTTTATTTGTGAAGATTATCTTGCTCAATGTGTAAGTATGGTTAATGTTTGTTTGCCACAGAGTTCATTATCGGCAATAAACCAAGGTCCAATGGGAAAATTCCAAAGGCTTTTTGAGAGTATGCTAACTTCCGCATACAAAAAATGTCATCCCCATGGCACTCGGAAATTAACAAAATAAAATAAGCAAATAAAACTAGGGGGTAACAGCTTGATTTTTTTCCACGCTCCCCAATAAATTAGTAAAATGTAAACTTTAAAAGTGTATTATTGACAGTATGCGTTATTTTGACACAAATATGTTTTACACGCTTTGTTCACGCACTTATTTTGAAAGCGAGCAAGTAAGCTAAAGTTGACTTCCGGTTTTATTTCGTTTTATTAGCTTGACGCAGCAGCTGGAGTGAGAGTTTGAAAGTTTGGGGAGGTGAAAGCTCCACCTGAATCATGCTGGCTTCAAGTTTCAGGGACTGTAAGGTCAGTGTTGGGGCTTCAGAAAAAGTAGCTACAGCTTTAACGAGATAAATATTTCGGCAAAGAGTTAGCACAAGAGAGGACACGACACTCGCAGTATAACGGTTAAAAATCACGAGCTATAGTGTCGCGGTTATGTTCGCATCAGTGAAAGTAACAGTAAACATAAGCGTGAGAGGACGTTGTGAGGTTGGTGGGTTTTAACTGTGTTCGCCTTCTGAGTTGACACAAAATGTACATACAGCTAAGTCACTGATTAAATAATGTCCTTCTTAACTGTCTGAACTACGAACTTCTGTCAGGACGGGCTTATCTGCCCTTGAAAACTGAGGCTTTATCAGTGTTAGACCCGTTTATTTTAAGGTTGGTAACGTGTGCACAGTTTTCTCAGGCGGATTTGAAAGTCAGTAATATGGTGGCAACATTTGTGTAAAAATACACAACTTACACTCATATATACTATTAATATCTGCATCCCAACAGGGAATAGTGAAGTACATGCAACTAAACCAGTCATTGCACTTCATTTTGCAGGAGCTGTCTGGTAGTTAAGCTGCATTCACATGTGCACAGTGATTCAAATAGTTATTTCTTGTAATTTTTTGGTAGTTAAAAAATGGAACTACAAACAATATTGGGCCATAAAAGGAAAGTAATTCATTTTTATATTATTTCTATATTGCTTCTCTACTGTAATTCTATTTCCTTCGACCAGCCCCACCCCTTTTGCCCTAATGCTGTGAAGGTATGCTCAGGCAATGCATTTATCAGAGTTTGTAAACTTAAACTTGAATATTATAGGTCTTGATTAGTCAGGAGTATCTATTATTATTAGGGGTGGGAGGAAAAAATCGATAAGGCATATACACTGCCACACAAACATATATATGTTTGTGTGGCAGTGTCGTACTGTCACACAGTGTCAAGTATTTTTGTATTGTAGAAATTACTTATATGACAAATACAAATTAAACTTTAGATAGCCTACTAGAATAATATAATTAAACGCTTTTTCTAGTCCACTACATACATTTTGCTGCTGGAAAAAAATGGCTTAAGTGAGAGGAACAGACTGAAAACTTTATCTTATTAGATAAAACAGATTTTGACAAAGTTTTCCTTTGGGGAAATTTACAGTTAAAAAAAAAAAGGGTAATAAGTTGCAATATATCGCAGTATATTCAATCGCAATACTCAGTATATTGCAACATATTTAAAGGAGAAGTCTGATATTTTGCACTTTGAGCCCCATTTCTGGGTTGTTTATGATGAAATAGAGTGGTTAAGACCAAAATTATGACGATTGCTCCTTTTCGGAGCCAAAACTCACCAAGTGGTCAGCGGTGTTCGGTGATGTTCTGACATAAAAATAGTAGCAAACTGTGGTTTCTGTGATGATTTATTCGACATTTTGTCTAATCCATTGATTTTCTATAGGAAGCCTCAATGTCCGTTGGTAGTAATCCGCCACCGGAAATGGAAAAGGGGGTGGTTTACGACAAGGTTGTAGTCATTGTAGTCTTTTAGCCCAGTGAAAGTGCCGGCTCGACAGTGCTACGAGAATGAACGAAAAAGTTTTGTAATGAGTTTAAACAACTGCACATTGGATTACTTGTTGTAAACAACCTTCGCAGTACGATGTCTTTGAACACAATGCCAGCCTTCTTCTTGTACTTCTTTTCTGTGTCCCATCTTTGCAATGGTTTCCTGCCAGTTGGGGACACCCACATAAAGGAGATATACACACGGCCATAGACATGTGTAAATCTGCCTGTTAAGCCAGGCAGGGGAAAGCCAAATTCTCTGAAAAGGAGCAGTTGTCACAATTTTGGTCTTATACTGGACTTCTCCTTTAAATTGATATTGTATTGTGATAATATGGTGTCATGGATCCTCTGGTGATTCCCACCCCTAATTATTAGGCTACTAGGTACATGTCACTCTTTTGTGGTTGCAGTTAACACTGTACACTCAGCCTCACAAGGTGACGGTATGAACTGTGAAATCAGTATCTTTCTCATTTAGGCTCACACAATAACCAGTTGTGCTTCATCTGTGAGTTACATCTGCTGCCCATTATGCATCACTGACTGTTCACCTGTAACCATAGTTTCTCATAGTCACATTTTCTGATACACACTTGTGCCTTTCAGGTGTCTCAGTACATGTATTACAGTAGTGCATTTATCCTCTGTTGGCTCAGTTAAAAGCTATGACAGTTAACTCACTGCAAAACTCACACCAGGACTTGTACATGTAGCCAGATAGATTAGGTTACCCACTGTATCTCTGTATTTTTCTGTTATTTAAATTCTGTTCACAAGGCGTCGCTCTGGGTTTACAATCTTGCTTGTCAAACCTTTCAAGTATTTTCTCAACATATCTCCTCTGTGAATTTTTCAGACATTCATCACTCTGGTGAAAATCAATACTGAGAAAATGTTTCACTTTACCAAAGTCTTTCATCTTGAATTTTTCGCTAAGAGTATTTTCTTCACAATCTTCAGTGCATTTTCATCACTGGCAACAATGATCAAGTCATCAACACATATTAACATGATCACTTTCTTTTTCTGTTTCCCTTGTCTAAACACAGTGATCAGTTGGATATTGTATGAAGTGCAGCATCTTGTTCCAATTCCTCCCCTGTATTGTGATATAGGGACTTTATATACACCAACTTTTTGTTTATGCCAGGGTTCCAGCACATTTTATGAACAAAAGGTAAAAAGTTTTTCGAACATATCAGATTCAAACACAATTTCATCCAGTGGGCATACATGT